GATTCACTTCTTCAGGACTCCCAATTAATTAACAAACTACTTTGGATCACTCAGCCTTATCCTCTGTTAGTCACATACCAATCTATTGATGACACAACTTTTATGTTAAAGCATTCAACAGGTGAAATATTTACTCTGGCAGCCAAGGCAGAGGAAAGAAGACAGGAGGAGAAGGAATGAGCTTAAGCCACATTACCAAGAGATGGAAGGATCAGAAGCCTGGAAAGCACTTAAAAATACCTCCCAGATCTGCAGCATCCAGTGTTCATTTAAAACAGTGGTAGTTTGAAGCAGTTAAGAAGGCAAAGAAAAATTACTATGAACAAAGTGTAATTAAGACTATCTGCCCAGACTTGCCTGAAATAAAAGTTAAACAATGAATTGTGTTATTTTCATAGATGTTAAATCAAATGCCAAAGATGATATTTGAAATGTCAACATTAGCAAGACACACCAAGAAAAGTTAAGTTAGCAAGCTTTACACTTGCCTTTCCATTGGACAAGACAGATGCTTCAATCCTAGAGCAATTTAACAGCAAGACAGGATGAAAACACATTTTGTGCCTCTTCCTCAGGGGAAGAAAGGGGTGGAAAAGACTGATTCTAATTTGGAGATGTTATTTCAACACTGACTTGAAGTTTTACAGTGCATATAATTCAAGATGAGATAGATTAGCATAAAACTTGTATTTAAATGGTCTGGCTTAATCTGGCTCACAGCTCTGTGGGCATCTGGTGCATGGTCAAACCCAGCCCTCAGGGATGAATTTTGCTTGGAGCCCAAACACTGCAGCCTTGCTGAAAGAACTCCAAAACATAAATAATGAGATAAAACAATAAGGTTGCACTTGATCAAAATCTACCCATGATGTTTGCAGCTTGAAGGAGGAGAAAATAGCACCTGGGGTAAGGGACTGCTCTGCCATATTTGGATGTGTACACCATGGGAAAGATCAGAAACAAAATTAAGGTGGAATTATGGCTGCAATAGAAGAACAGAAGGCTTGGCTCACTCCGAAGATAACATTCTATATAAACTGTATTAACTTTTTCATGTTCTTACTTCCAATTTTTTAACAAACCAACAAGTTACAAATCTTTTCATCTCTGCAAACAGTTATGCAAAACTTATGGTATAATTATGTCTAATTCTACAGGCAATCAAAGCCTTTTGTCTTGTAACTGGGGTGGAGCCCTGCCAATTCCCAAACGATGGATGCAATACTCTTTACAGCTGCACTGCCTAAAAAGTAGGAAAAAAAAGCAGAATACCTATACAGGACAGGAAAGGCAGTGGGGAAAGAAAAATTCTAGCAAATTAAAAAGTGCTAGTCTACTAAGTGCAATGCTTCATCTGCCTGTGCCTGGCAAATCATCTTTAGGGGTAATATTTCCAAAAATTAAATCTTTTTTCTTCTCTGAGTGACAAAAAGATGAAGACTTTATGACTCAAACAAGTCTCCAGCTCTGCAGACAAAGGCACTTACCACAGCACAGCTCTGTCCCCCAGCTCCACAGCTACCCTAAAAGGTGACACAGCAGCGGATCAGGAAAAACAAGAGGTAAAAGAAGTTACTTTGACTCAGGACAAAACCAGCACGTGCTTTCTACATTAAGCTACTACTTCAAACTTTATGCCAGAGTTTCCAGGGAACAGCCAAGTGCTGCAAAGTTAATCAAAACAAGATGTCTGTGAGCCGTTGAGTACTGCAAGAGATCCTCCAGTGTTCAGCAGCAGGACCACCCAGAAATTTCTTTTAAGATGCAAGCCCAACAGCTGGGAAACCAAGCTTCAGCAAGTTAAACCATTTCTTCTCCTGTGTAACATTATCCCTCCCCAGGACTGCTGTGGATAAATACACTCTCATTCACAAATACAGCTGTACACTTGAATTTTGCCTTTTCTGATCTCATCTAGAATCCCAGAGAAGTTTTGGCAAGCATGACTGTTAGTTACAATTAAAAGCTCAACAGTGATAGTTCTTGGTTAAGTGCAAACAGCACTCTGATTGTGCAGCATAGCTACATTTGAAGAGTGTTCAAGTATTCTTGCATATCTTAGTAATAATACTCAGTATTTGATAGTTGCTGAAAAGAGGAGATACTGGGGAAAAACTCTAGTAAGAATGCATCAAGCCCTTCTTTTTAAATAACCAGAGAAAAATCACTTACAGTAATAGTTGCATTTTATTTTCTCTTTTAGTTTCAATGTGCAGTATTTTCAGCATTTTTTTTAAACTTAAACATACATCTAAAATTATATGCTTTTCTTTTCCCTTGAGTACAATTGCTTTTCAGATTGGGGCTCCAAGCTTTTGCTCATCATTGCCCTCAAACTATATCCCACCACAGGGTGCATTACCTTATCCTTGTCAAGTTTATCCAACTTGATGGTGTGTATACACGGACTGATGGGAATGATAAGCTCACACAAAATGCACATGACTAAAGCAGCACATGCTTCACAAATGCTCTGCAGCATTTATACCCAGTTACCTGAATGCAGCTAAAAACTTGATCAAGATATACCACAGAAGCTCTCCTGGGTATGACTGTGGGATTCTCAAGATTCTTAAATGGATACTTAGGTAGCATGCACAATGAGTTCACCCAAAATCTCTGTATTAGGTTAAATTAACATCATTAATTTTCCCAGAATTTTGCTACATTGCTTACTCTAGTTTTCACAGCAGCTTGTTTTCACTTTAAAACACTTAAACTACTTAAAAACTAGCAAAGTATTTTGCCCTCTTGTAACTTTCATCATTTGTGTCCTTATAACCAAAACTGTTTCAAGAGCAAAGCACCTACCATTGTCACTCAGTTGATTTCTACCTTTAGTAGAAAGTTTAGCTGGGATTGTACATGGAAAAAGTCTGATTTACACAATGAATGTACTCAATTAGTTCCCCGTCTTCTCCCATTCCTTTCAACCACCGGGTAAGATCCTGAATGACTGAATTTAAATAAACTGCTTATTGCTATTATTTATTGCTCATTATACCCTAAATTTTTTTTATTATGGAAGCATAAATGCTCAGCCCTGACAGCTCCACAAAATCCTAAGACAAACCAGGTCTGCTGCTCTTGGAGAACTGTCTTTGCAGTGTTTTTGACACAACCTCCTTATTTGCTATATAGTTAACAGCCACTGAAAAAGGAGAATGGCAAGACAGAATTCTCTTAAGGCAAATCTACTAGATATCAACAAATTACTTTTAACCCAAAAGGTTCCAAAATGTTCCTTCATTTGACCTAAATCTGTTCAGTCATTACTCAGTGCTTTTGGAATGCTGCTGGTGTTAAAAAACAAGCAATGTCTTGGTGCTAAGAAGGCATTCCTACCAAAGCAAAAGTAACACACAGTCATTTACTAGGTGCTTTAGGCAAGAAATGACATCTGGGTATACACTTCAGAGAAGATTTAAATAAACTCACATTCAATTGCAACTGGAAAACAGCACAAATAGTAAAGAAAATACTTTGAATCCCACAAATATGAACAGGTTTACAGTAAGTTGTCATTTGCAACTCCTCACTCTTGCACTCAGTGCAAGGGAGGAGGCAGGCTGAAATTAAACACAAAGCAAACTTTATTTAATGGGCCAGTGGGTAGCTGGTCCAAAAGCTATTTGTGACAAGTTGGCTGGCATACAGTGTTCTTAGGGGAGGGCCACGTTATAGATTTAGTAATGCAGTTCCTTTGACAACTGAACTGTAACTGAAGTTTTAAATATTAATCTGTCTCAAGTATGCTCCCAGTCATGCCATACCTCTCATCTTGTAAGGCTGCAAAGAAGCCACTTTTACTGCAAAGCACATTAAAGATGCTGTCTGCTTTGTTTAGCCAGGACAACAAATGTATGTCTAAAGACCAAACACACTTCTACCCTGATCTCAATGAAAAAATGAACAGCTTGATTTTCAGAATTCGCTTTCTGTTTACAGCAGGTTAAAAACACTCTGTGAAATAAAATCTTGCATAGAGTCAGTCTCAAAGGACAAGCAGTATTTTTATTTCCTTTAAATCCAACATCAGAATCCCTTAATGGCCTGTTCTGCTGTTACTACCCCTGTGGCACACCTCGTGGCTCATGTCACTAAAAGCAGACAGGAGTGATCTTGAGTATGATTTCATTCCCAAAGAAATGAGGGTGTGGAAAGAATGTCTAGGAAGGAGAGAGGAAAGTGTGCTGCAGTGAAATGTCTGAACTGAAGCACTACTGCAGTGTGCTCCCACTCTAGGAAGACCCTTAAGCTACAACTCCTTCAGGTCACAGAGAATTTCCTAAGAGGAGGTGCCCTTCTTTAGACACTTGGGACACATTACAGGAGGTAATACACTACAACAAATCTCCAAGAGAGGTTAAAACAGATGAAGTCATTACCAGTGAATCAGTGTGAGGTTAGAACTGAGTGCATCAGCTCTAGAACTTGTCTTGATACAGGTAATGCAAATACTTGCCCTAAGGCTGGCAAGAGGCATTTGAGGAATGGCAGTCTGTCACATCTGAAGTTTTTCACCCAGCTGTGCTGACTGCTTAATTCAATGTATTTCTTCACTGGCTTGAAAGATGCTACAGCAAGTCCCAAGCTGGTTTGGAAAGTTTCCTAAAGGGTCTAGCTCCTGTGATCCCAAGGTAAAGTAATCAGCTGGTCTGTGTTAATCATGAGGAGCTTAAAATTATGAAGAATTTAACAGTTTCATAACACAACACATACTGTTATATGATGAGAATTTGACTAACCTGATGCTTAAAAAATATATTAAAATCTATTTTAAATTCTGGAAAATAGCTTACAAAAATATCTTCACTTAAACTATATATCATACAAAAACTGACTGGTGTGTGGGTTTACAGTACAAAACAATTATTGGTGATTACAAAAGGGAAGAGTGATCTATACTACCCCTTAATGCAAACACAGGGCATTATATCTCACTGCCTGCAATTAGACTTTCATCAGAATTAAGATAATTTCCAATATAACTCAAAAACTTTCAAACAGTATCTATTTTATTAAAATTTTTCTCTGAAATCCTGTTCAGTTTCTTTTAAAAATCACCACAGTGCAGTGGCCCAAGGAAGAAGAGTAACCCAACTAAGGACAGAAATAATTGCTCTAGATAATAAGACCTGTAGAGAGCTAAATACAGCAACATCTACAGTTGTTTCTACTGCCCATACTATCAATTTCCTCTACCAGTTTCTAAAAGGAAGAGACACCAGTGGACAATTCCTTTGTAATCAATTTACGGGCAGAAGCAACAATTTTTGGTCTAGATTGGAATTAGTTTAAATACATGGGTTTAATAAATACAAATATACACATCTGTATACATTAAATGTTGTCACATGTGTATAATTTCAACATATACATTATATACAGAAATACATACAGTACATGCTCCTCCTGACAACACTATCTCATTTTTCCAAGTGTCACCAAAAGGTGTGATAAGAAAATGAAGAGAGGTTGAATGTAGGATCTGACTGAGAACCAAGGTATCAATTCTCTGTAATGAAAGACTTAAAACACAACTAAAGACAAATGCTGTGCTAGATTTCCTCATGTAAAGCTCAGGAATCAATGGCATTCCCTGGGTGGTGAGTAAAAGCTAAATCTGGCCCTGTGTAGTGTCCTGAAATTCATGGATATTTCTGTTTGTGACTAAAGCATTATGGATACTACAGGTAATAAAAGAGGTTGTGTAATCTAACACTTTAGCCAGTCCCAAAGTAGACCACAGCAGCCTTCTGATTCTTTACTGCTACCACATACTTGTTTAATGAGAGTGGTCCAGATAACTCCATGGTCTCAGTTAGGAAAGATCAAATGGTTGTTGACTACTGGGGAGCTTGCACCATTTTGTCTCTTAAAATGCTGTACAGCAAATAAGAGCAGTTTCTTAAGTACCTAAAGTTTGATCCAGAGTGACTAGTCCTCTTTTTTACCATTATGTCTCAAAATAAAGGAATTAAAAAGAAGCTACAGTAAAGTGGATCACAAGAATGCCTCCTTAGTACAGTATCTCAAGACAAATTAATCAACATATTCCAGTTTTAAAGCACTTTAAGAAAAAGTGAGATGCAAAACAAGACGTAATCTGTACATTAAGATGGATTTCCAAAAGGAACATGAATTCAAGAATGAGGAAAAAAAATGAGGACAATACAGATGTCAAGACATTCAGTAGCATGGCTTTTGTTCATCTCCAATTACAGCACAGCTCATGCACCACACATCTTACAATTTTACATACTGTACATAATATAGAAATATTTAAGTTAAAATTTCTTTCACTGATATACTGTACTCAAATTTGAAATCCTGAGAAGAAAAAAGAAAAACGTGTGGTTACGTATGTGCACTATATCTCTGGTATCACCAACACATACACCACTGGATATCAGAAAATCCAGAGAGAGAAATTACATGCTGGAAGTGTAAATCATAAAAGCCATTTTCTCTTTTCCTTGTTTGGGAGAGACATCAGGAAACAAATTCTATTCTGTACTACACAACAGTATATACAGGTACATAAAACTATGAAGTTGGCTAATGACTGCACGTTGCAATAACAGTCTGTCAGTGTCTTACTGGCTGCACCACAGTGGCTTCAGCTGCATATTGGGAAGAAGAGGAATACCAGATACCTTGCACATGGTGCTAGCTCATACTTGACAGCTTGGATGTGTGGCTTCTTAGTCCCCAACATCACTTGAAAAACACTGACATACTTCATTCCACTTAGAGGTGCTTGGTGTCAACAACAACTACACTTGACTTTTCAGGTGATTTCCAGTGCTGCAGAGCACTTGTCCATGCATGCTGGAAGGAAAACTGACAGGTCCGTATTTACCACAAATGCAACCCCAGGTATTTTCTTGATCTTGCATTCCTCATAACTCATATTCCAACACTAGTCATGCAGTTCCACTACACATCAGGATGTTCAACATGCTGTGACCTTGTGGACATTTTGCAAACAAGTCAGTAGGCGATGGTATGGGGTTCCTGGAGATGCCACCACCTCAAACACCGACTGGAACGCTCTCCGGTCCAACTCTTCATCGATCTGGTGTCGGTAGAAGTCTATGGCCACCAAACAGAAGATGTTAACATCCACTTGCTCTGATTTTCCCATTCTGCTGATAATATGTGGAAGACTGAAATATAAGTTAAGGTCATAAAATGACAGACATTGTCCCTCTTCTGGTTTAGCAGTTTAAACAGTGTTCTCTATTAAAACAGCTTATTCTTAAGTTCACCAATGACATTCAAGTGCAAAATGCTGTCATCTGGCAATTAACTGCTACTACATAAATCCTGTTTCCTCCTTAACATCACACAATTTCTTATTCTCAGAAATTAATTTCAAGCTAGCAGTAGTTTTCTCTATCCATTGGAGCAAACAATGCAATCAGCATCTGCTGAGAGCCAAAAGAGCACTGCTGAGGTAGGGAGTCATTAGGACATTTCAAACATGACAAATGGCTATTTTTTTGTCTGCACACAAAATGCACTAGTTATTTTTCTATTTGTTTCAGGGGTTTCTTTATTTGTTTTTAAATAAACCCAGCACTAACACCACACACATACACACACACATATATATATAAAGATAGATATATAGATAAATTGGAATAAGTCTGTTCCAATTTATTTGGCCACTGCCATTCCATTACCAAAGCTCAATATTACTGCAGTGCACAGCCAGGGGGATAACTGGAAAATACAGTTTGGATGTAGAGAATTCTCTTGATTTTGAGTTTGTTGGCTTCTTTCATTTTTTTCAATATATTTTATCTTGCAGAAGGAATACAGAGCAATGCCTTTAAAGGTCACAGCAATACTATAAAAAGTCCTTCAAAGTAAAGACTTTCCCAATCATCTTGCATAGCCAGAAGGAACTGATCTTAAAGCAGCAGTTTTAGATAACTTTGTTCTCATAATCTGTTTAGATGTTGTCTTTTTTCCCTACAAACCCAAGGTAGCAACAGCACAAGGCAATATACACCATCACTATCTGCAATAAAACTGCCTTTTTTGTTTCTTACACTTGTACTCTTATCTTTCAAGGCTTTACACTGTAATTACCCAGAAATGGCACACATTCAATCTTTTTAGGATACATTGCTGAAATCCATTGACTGGTGGAAGCACTGACAAAAAAACAGGAAAGACTCCACATTGCCATTGCCACGGGTGTTCTTTGTGTGAAATTAGAGAGAGAGAGCATCACCCAGTCACGGACCATGGAGGACTGCCCAGTGCTATGCAGAGTCTGGAACACCTGCAAATTGTACACAGGAATAAAGACAGGGTGGATGGATATGGGGAACAGTTCAGTTTCTCTTGTAAAGGTTGTTCTCTGGCTACAAAGCTCTGAGGGTCACAAACTGGATTGCTGGAGTCAGCTCTGGGTCTCATGAATTAGTGAACAGGACTCATGACACATGTGCCAAACTGAAGTAATCACATAGAAACACACAACTTGTGTGGTGTCTCTGTTTTTTATAGATCACATGTGCTACACACATGCAGTCTTCAGTGATGCACAAGTCCAGTAGGTGTTGAAGAGCCAAAAGCCCAGAAGCTCAACTGAAGCCACAGGGGTTTGCTTTTTAGGTTCACAAGCTGATGGCTCTCTCACATCTAGAATCAGCACCAGGATCACAACCACTAACCTTTTCTTTATTTTCTCATTATCAGTGACTGGACTGTCCTGCTGTGAGCTCTGACATGGCAATTCTAGTCCTCAATGCTGCCTGGAAGGCAACGCTCACAGCAGAACAGCTCAATCATGGCAGTTTTTTAGATCTAATTAACAAAAGTGGTAAATGGCCCTTCAGCTGAAACATTTAAGAAAAATAAATGTATCAATACTACCTTATAAACTACTGTTGCCATGAATTGTGGGTATGGCTGCTGATTGGACAGAAATTCCCCAATGACTTTGTTCATTACATCTTGTGGGGGGAAAAAATCATCAAGGAACTGTGGAAGAATCCGAGCCACTACTCGAGCTTCAAAAGGAAATCCCTTCCTGATCCTGAAAATAATAAAAAATTAAATATATTATGATGGAATGTCAACGCATATCTTGTTCTTTTCCAATTTAATTGGCAATAGAAAGAACATTTTACTTTCATCTCTGAGTAGGCAAGTTCTCAGCACTGATGAATCCAAATCTTCATGTAATCTTAATAACAGACTACCCAAAGAGGTCTATCAAAGCTGTCAGAAGTTGTTACAGGTGTGTCTTTACCCCACACTCTCCCCTTTTCTTTTTTGAATAATCACATGTTTTGAAGGTCTGGAATTGCATCAGACATGAGACTTACCAACAGGAATGCTGAAAAAACTAAACAAGAGCAAAATAGGAGGGAGATCACTCCTCCTAGTTATCAGAGAAAAGACCATTTATAAGCAGAACACCACTTTTCATTCATAACATCTTGGCATTTTTTATTCAAGCTTAGGATGACCAACATATCAAACAAGAAAAGCAAGCTGCATTGCTGTGTAAAGTGGGGAAAAGATACTCCAACCTACAGACAACTTTGTTTAAATAACACTAATTGGAAAGTCTTGCTAATAAAGGCAGCATCTGTTGATGTAGCAAGATCAAGTTACCATCATGTGATTCTTCCCTGCAAAAGTTATTTTTCGCTTGTAGTAGTCACATTTATTTTGCTAGCTCTTCAGAGTGATATATTCAAAAACACTCAAGCACTGCTCTAGTTCTGTTCTCACCACGTACAGAAGTGAAACCCTCCTCCAGTTTTATGGAAAAACCACTGAACACTTTAAAAAATGTAAACCATTACCCACAAACTACTACACAAAATCTAACACGCTATACTCACTTAAGACAGCTTGAGATTGTCAGATCAAAACAGGGGTTTTGAAATGTTCCCATTAATGAGTTCCATGTGAATACAGATGTTTTACTGTGTCATTCCACTGCAATTACTTAACAGCCTTAGAAAGAGCAACTCTTGTGAGGAGGGAAGGGGGGAAAAATGTTTTAAACTCTTAGGGTGGTTAGAAAGATTTCCATTTCCTGTAAACTGGATTTATATCCTTGACTATGTAGAAGACATCCTGAAAAGCACTTAAGAGTTTGACCTGAAGGGAGCTGGAAATACATTTATGAAGTATTATGGTTTGTGCAACACACAGTATCAGTTTGGACATGTCTGGTTTTCATTTACATTCCTGCACATTTGTGCTGCCTTCAGCAATCCCATCAGTGTTACTGTGTATACCAGGAGTGTAACTTTTAAACAAGAGTAAGTAGAGAAACATCATTAATTAACTGTAAGAACTGTCAAATAGAGAAGTGACCAAGCAGTGGCAAACACAATCCTTGCCCTCCCAGAGCCCCATTTACACATTTTGTCCTCTTACCTATCAAAAAGGACAGATACTCGTTCCATAGCAACAATCACAGATTCACTGTCAGGAGCACCAGGATTTGCATCTGGGACACGGCTGGGGCTGATTTTTTCCTTTCCTACACCAAAATAATTTGTTACAAGTTCACTGTGGATGTTAGAACACACTTCTTTTACTCTTGGTAACAAAAAAAAAAAATTAAGAAAATTAGCACTGTTAGCAAGCCAGTCTCCCAGCACATAAGAAGTATAAAAAAAGTGAATACCTGTGTACATGCAAGTCAGCATCAATCCCAGGGCTGCCATTGCTCTGTGGGGGCTCTGCACATTCACCCTGTCAACACTCAGTTTAACCAGGGACTCACTGTCCAGCCTGGAAAGCTGCTCTGAAAGGAGGAGTCGTTCCAACCCTCTCAGGACACAGTGATAAATAATGGATGGTGTTGATTCATCACTTCCAGACACCATGACTCCACACATCTGAAATAAAGCAAAAAACCCCCAACTACTTGGTTTTGAGGTGTATTCAGGTCATCTTCTAGCACTACACCACAAAAACATGGAACGGCATCAGATATTAACAAAAACTGATGAAACTAAAACCAAAAGCATGCCTGCACTTCAGTATCTAAGTTAAGTGTTAAAGTCAGCTAATGTGGTGATCTCAGGTTACACAACCACCCCTCACTGGAGGCACCACAACGTACCTGTATAATTCCTGCAGAGAATTCAGGCCCTACATCAAGTGGGTAATTCTCAATCAAATAGAAAGCAGCTGCACACATCACCAAAATGTGCTCTTGGTTATGGATGTTCACACAACTGCAAATGAGCAAAAACACTAGTGGTCACACCAGAGTTGTTTAGGTCACAAACAGAGACACTATAAACAACTTCTAGAAATTCAAAGTATTTTTGAACATGAAACGTAAGCCCTTTTTAAAATCACAGAAAGCATTGCTGAGGTGTCATAAGAGAACATTGATTGTCATGAAAATGACAGAAAAACGAGGCTTAAGTAACACAGTTTACCAAAGACACAAAAGCCTGTATTATCAAACAGTTTTCTAATCCTCAAATACTATTCCACTCTGTAAATTAAACCTAAAATTGGATGATATTTTCAATGAAAATGCCAAAACCTGCTTGATACAACAGCTTGCTCTAAAATGTACTGGCAACTGCCAACAACAGAGAGCCCTTTTGTTCAGACATAAACATGCAACAGTTTGGAGCCAGGGGGAAAGGGAGAAGAGTCTTACTGTGCTACTCCTCTCAAATTGGAGAGCAGATACTCGCTGATAATTGGAATGAGCTGCTTTGCTGTCTCGTCCAGCAAGTCACACTCAAGGATATAAAGAATTCCATGCAGAGCTCCAATCCGGCTTGGCATGTGGGTGCTCCTTAGGGTTGATTCCAGCAGTCGACTTACTGGTTCAGCCACAGCTTTATCCTAACACAGCCAACAAGAGCACTCATTAGAAATCAACACTGGTTTAAATACTGGCAAGTCCTGTCATTCAGAAATACTTGGAACAAATTAAAGAGCAGAAAATAGGGAACAAACCGGAGTCTGGCTTAAACTACTTTGAATAAATGTCACAAGACTAATACTATCAGACAAGAGATGAGTTGCAGATTAACAAGGAAATTGATGCTACTTTGTTTTTTTTGTACAAAGTTATGTCATGATTCAAAATTTTAAAAAAACCAAATAAGATAAGGATTAGTTCAGTAAGTAGTACGTGCTACTAAGAATACAGGACTGGAATGATTGAAATTTTGTGGTCTTTCAACTAAACACAAATGACTCTTCCATCTGAAACCAGACAACTATAATCTGCCATCTAATATCTGTCTACTCAACTCATAGCACACCATTCTATTCGTTTATTATTCTCTGAGACCACTGGTACTCAGACCTACATATCTTTCCCTCCACCAATTTTGTGATCTGGATGAGGGAATCAAGTGTACTCTCAGCTGGGCAGTAATGTTGATCTGCTGGAGATGAGGGAGACTCTGCCAAGGGATCTGGACAGGCTGGATCAATGGGCCAAGGCCAAGGCTCTGAGGTTCAACAAGGCCAAGGCTGGCTCCTGCCCCTGGGTCACAGCAACCCCCGCAGTGCCACAGGCTGGGGCACAGTGGCTGCAAAGGCCCCGTGGAAAAGGACCTGGGGGTGCTGGTTGAGAGTGGCTGAACAGGAGCCAGCTGTGCCCAGGTGGCCAAGAAGGCCAATGGCACCTGGCCTGGATCAGCAGTGGTGTGGCCAGCAGGACAGGGCAGTGACTGCCACCCTGTACTTTACAGAATCATTAAGGTTGGAAAAGACCTCCAAGATCATGGAGTCCAGCCTTTGAGCACCACCATCAACTAAACCACAGCACTGAGTGCCATGTCCAGTCGTTCCTGGAACACCTCCAGGGATGGTGACTCTACCACCTCCCTGGGCAGCCCATTCTGATACTTAACCACCCTTCCAGTGAAGAAATTCTTCCTAACAGCCAACCCAAACCTTCTCTGGCACAACCTGAAGCATTTCCTCTTGTCCTGTCACTTGAGAGAAGAGACTGACCCTTACTTTGCTATAATCTTTCAAGAACTTGTAGAGTTGTAAAATTCCCCCTGAGGCTCCTTAGGCTACATCCTTAGGGAAATGGTTTAGTTAGGTGAATGGGTGGACTCAATGGGGTCTTTTCCAACCTAAATGATTCCACAATTTTATGTTCAGTATTCATAGGTCAAGCTGGTACCAGATACTTCACGCTCTGTTATAAAATACCACAACTTCACTGGAATATACAAAATCTATTTTGAATTTTAGTTTTGAAAAGTCTTCTCCTTACTATCTAAGTAATCAGAAGAAATTACTTGCTTTACCTTGTTCCTTTACCTATGATGTATCTAAGACACAGGCCAGTTTGAGACAGTGTCTGCTCTCTAGCTGCTCTTTTTAAGCAGATTTTCTGTATAACTAAGCACAGAAAAACAAGCAACTCTTGATGGAACCAGCTTCTTGTTTTTTAAGTCCCACCAAGCTGTTATATTCAGCTGTTTGCTTGTGAGAAGGTGTTATTAGCTCACAGAGTGGGAAATGACAGCCTAGTCAGAATAGCTGATCTCTAGAACTGTTTCTGTGTGTTTGCCATCATGTTCCCAGCCTTCCCTTGCCCAGCTGCTGCTGCAATAGCTACTGAAAGCCCCACCCTAAAAGCCTTTCAGAATTTCTTTTACCACTATTACCCATATAGCTTTATATTAGCCTCAGAGTTTCAAGAAGTGCTAACTCCTTCCAAAATGATTTGTAATTTTTTTCCTAAATACCTCCACTCTGAAATGTCCCCTGTAAAGTACTCCTGGTCTACACATTTTAAGACAGAATGATGCAGTGGAGGGAAGAGTGAGGGAGAGAAATGTGATATCTGACTGTCTGGGGCTATATAATCATAACATGCATTGTCCCAGCCTCCCATGAGATTACAGCCATTCACCAGCAATATAAATCTAGCAAAAGCTGTTCTGCAAGTCCTCATTTCTGCCCTGATATGTAACAAATGAAGAGTCTAGGGCAAAAGCAACACTGAACTCAATAAAACAAACCAAAAAGCATATTAAATTATGCTCAAACCTTAAAAAATATCAATTCAAAAAACCTTTCTGTTTGAATACAGGGCAATTTGAGATAACAAGAGTTTGCAAACTCTAAAAGCCCAGAATACATATCCTATTACTTCTCACAGCCATGTAGATCAGCTAAAGGACATTCTTATAGACAAACCACCATTAACAAGTATACCAGGTTCTGCAGAAGAAGCTGAATTAACCTAAACACTCATGAATTTGCAATAAACTTTCAGAGAATTTCTTACCATTCCAAGAACAGCAGCAGCTTTACAAGTAGCTGGTATCAAATACTGTACAAGAATCTCATCTTCTGATGGATGCACCTTTCTCAACTCTGTCAGTGTTGTATACATCATCTCAAACTGATTCCTTTCTGTAAATAAGTCTGACACTGCCAGAAGCTGTACAGAAATTAAAATTGAATATAAAAAAATTCCCATTAGCAGACAGCCAAAAACGGACTCTCCCTTCTGTTAAAATTGTGAGTAAAAGATTCCTCAACTGATCTATTAAATGTGGAAACATTTACTCAAGGGTCTGAAATAACTATTACTGTTGTTGTCCAGAATTAATTCCACCATTCACCTCTTATAATAATGACTTCCAAGAAGTCCTTTTTAACAAAAAGTTTACAAAATCAAAGCCACTATAGTAACTAACTCTGGGACATGAACATTGCTATTTACAATGAACTAAACCATCCCAAAACATACAACACACACTTATCTTGCAGGGATAGTTTCATTTTAAGTAATAAGAATGATAGTGAATAATTGCTGTCAAGACACATTCCACACCTGTGTTCTTTAGTTTTGCTTCTACACTTAATAATCAACAATACACATTGTTGCTCCATCTTCATTTTCTTACAAAGGGATAGGATAAGCAAATCATGCTTTAGCAAGTAATCAAGTAAAATATAAACTGTGTGTTTATATTTACTTGATTAAAAGTAAAATTAGCAAGTAATCAAGTAAAATATAAACTGCCATTAAGTAACAATGAAGTATTTGGAATGTAGCAGCAGAATAAGAAATTCAGATATTGCCTAAATCATATAATGTTGTAGTTGCTCAAGTTATGTTTCTGTACTGCCCATAGAACAGCCAAGAAAATTCTGTGTGTTCCATTTATTGAAAGATGCTTTATAAATGCTACTTAGCTCTGAGCACTTGGTAACATATGCTCAGTTATGGCTCTGAATAACAATTCAGACTTACTGATCGCACCACTTCACTGATCAAAATCACTGGTGTTCTCTTGCTGGGGTTGGATGGCAATATCCACTGACTGTACAGCTCAAGCAAGAACTGAGAACAAGAATGGATATCTACACCAGCCCTGTGCTTCCTGCAAGGAACAGTAAACAAGTGTTAAAATGACTATTCTTAAGCCCTGCTAAAATGCTTGATTTGATATAATACAGTTATTTACCAGCATCCAATTTATAAACCCAGCTTATTGAACACAACATGGAGAAATAAAACCTTATCTATGACTCAAAAGTGAGAAGAGAAAAAAAAGTAAGATACCTGGTGTTAATAGGAGAGATTGGTGGTGAGGAAGGAGCGGGTACATCATTCTCATCTTCTTCATCCTCACCCCACTCTTCTTCTCTCAGTGGAGTGATATTATTTCCTAACCATATGGAGTGTATAGAGACCTTGCAACACACAAAAGAAAAAACCAAATAGCAAAGAAGTGCATTTAACACCCCGACAGTCAGCCTAGAAGAATCTTAGAAGCCAACATATTTTTATTTAAATGACAGGCAACACACAGCCTTCTAGCTGAAGAGACACCCAGTTATGACCTACCCTGCATCATTCAGAGCTTTTAGTTTCTATTTGATATCAAGCAATGCTTCTTAACTAATTTTTCAGAACTGGAAGAAATGTAATAAAAAGCAAGTTTAAAGCTGAACTTTTAACAAACCTGTCCCAATTTATAATCCATATCTCCTATTTCTCGTTCAGTATTGATCTGCAGTAAGAGTTTTTCATGGCTGATAAGAGCACCTGTAATGAAACACAGGATGAATTTTTTAAAAGTGCATAACAAAGCACATGTGAAAATGGCTTCATTTCCCACAACTGGATTTCAAATTTTTCTTAGAGCACCTTTCCCACATTTTAAATGCAAAAAAAATTCACTCTCCCCTTCTTCCCCACAAACAAGCACTTACCTGTAGTAGCAGGTGAAAGTGATGGAACAGGGTCCCAAGCTTGATATAAATGATGAGTAGCAATATTATCTCTCTTAGACACCATTGCCTGGATTTCCTGTTCAACAATTCCCCTGATAACACTTAGTTTCCTCCCAAACCTGAAAGCCCAAGAGAAATCAATTTTAGCCGATTTTTCCTTTAACAATTTTGTGCAAGTCTGGCTCACTCTGCAATGTTATGTGTCTGTGCTTATTTTCAGTATCATGGAAATGAACATGTTGCAAAACATGTTCTGCACACTTTTACTAGATTTTATTAAGAAGTTATCTTTTTCAGATAATCTTGTAAGTCAGCAGGTTCACAATGCTAAGTCCATGCAACTTCTCTGTAAATAGATCCATTCAAATATACTCTTACTTAGAAAATACAATCTACACATATTTTTCCTACTAGACCAAGCAACTGTCATTATGTATTAACCACAAATTTTATGCATTTGAAAACAAGTGAAAACAAATACCTTGTGTCCAGAGCTTTTAAAGCTTTGTTGCGGGGCTGCTGCTCCAGGCAGCTAACTGCTGGATTGCCTGCAACAGGTATGGTCATTGCACTCAGCACCAGGGAGGTTATGGCTTGCACTGCCAGAACATTGATTTGGGTCCTCTCTGTATCTTCCTGTAAAATGAACTCACTGTAATTTGAATTGTTAAAAAACAAAAAATCCCAAAAGCTCTGAATATCAGTTTCATTAAATTATCATTAATAAGCCTGACACCTGCTCTTTTTCCCATCCAGAAATCTATGTGACATGAACAATGCACACAAAGCACTGACTGCAGCAGCAACACATCCTTCCTTCTCATCAGTCACTCTGCATGCACCCTTCTCTTGTCCCAACAGCATTAAAACCTCAAGATGTCCATTTCAGCACTTTTAAAAAAGTGTTTAGCCTCTTTCTTTGCAGCTACCCATTAGTTACTTGTTGAACCAAAGCAACAGACCACAAATGCATGGTCCTTTTTAGAAAATGTAAGATGGTAACCAATGTTCAACTTTCAAAATATTTTATTTTTATTTCAGAAAATGTTAATATACTGAAATTTACAACAGCACTTAAAATATTTGCAATTTTGAATGTACTGGTCTGCCTTGGAAAGCAAGGGAGCAATATTATTCTTGTTCCACAAATACTCTCTACATGACAAATAAGGAACAGCCAATGGCTAGATTGCCCTAAGTCTGACCCAACATGGCCATTATGCAGAAAACAGTTAAGTCAAGGTGTCCAAGCCTCTATAACTAACAAAAAATGCTAAACCAGGGAAGAGGGATGATGATTCCCTATTCCTTTTTGCAGTCTGACACCTAGGAAGCAAGAGAAGAAAACCCCTTTGCTACTCAAGATCCACAGTTTGTCCTCTGAATTCTTCGAACTGCTTTAGGCTCTGCACCTACCATCAGGACCATGAACAAGCCTAGGGAAATATCCTTTCAGGTCAAAGAACTAGAACCCAGTAAAATCAGTTTGCTAGCAGGTGAAGACAGTTGAAGAGGGAAAATCTCATGATAGCCAAGCTCACTCTCATCTTGACTTTTCACAGAATCATCAAGGTTGGAAGAGACCTTCAGAAACCATTCAGTACAATCATTAATGCAGTACCACCACAATCACCCTCAGCCCATGTCCCTAAGTGCCACATCCAGACCCCTACTGAACACTTTCAAAGACAGTGACTCCACCACCTCCCTGGAAAACTTATTCCAATGCCTAACCCCTCTTCCAGTGAAAATTCTTTTCCTAATCATCAATCTGAACCTCTCCTGGTGCAAATTAAGGAGTTCAGTTGAGGGATGGCAGGAAACACCAATCCCCACCTGGCTTCACCCTCCTTTGAGGTAGTTGTGGAGAGTAATGAGGATCCCCCTGAGCCTCCTCTTCCTGAGACTGAACAGCCTCAGCTCCCTCAGCCCCAGCCCCAGTTTTGTTGCTGTTCTTTGGACAGAAATATTTGGTATATGAATTGGTATATAAATACATATATTTTGGTATATAAATTAGACACAAATTCTGCTCTAAATTTCTTCAGCTCTGATCCCCAAATGCTCTCCACTGAATTTTAAACATTTACCTAAGCTAGAAGCCCAGACATCCAATATACAGTCTACAAGTAGGAACAAGACACATCAACATGCATCTTCAGATCAATTAATTTCTAGTCAAGAATCTTACAAAAAAACCCCAAAAACTGTGTTGAGTAATGTACTAATAAAGAGTTGAAAAAGCTTCATTATCTTTTTTCCTCACTATTTGTATGCTTGTAGAGGCTCTAAGCCTCTATGCTCTAAGCCATACAAGCATCCACAGATGGATGTGTCAGAACTCACTAGGGTATGAGAAAAAGGAAATACAAAATAGAAAAAAAAATCCTTAGTGTTAGTCACTTCTTTTCTGCTCTACAGTTTTATTAACAGAAACACTTTTCCTGGTTTAAGTAAAATTTCATTTTAAAAATACAATGAATGACATTACCTCTTGCTGGTTCTCCTCCTGGTCCATGACAATGGGCTGAGTTACGAGCACACCAAGCAAAGTAGCCCAAGTCTCTTCAAACTGAGTACGGCTGATCCATCCTGTGGAAACACTCAGAGATAGCCATTTGTGTCTCAACACAAAGCTAAACAAGGAACAGCATTTAAAAAAGATATATTGTTTCCACAGATTTCGTTTCATACCACTTGCTATTCATTTTGGCGGTTTGTAATGGAACAGGCTTCCCAGGGAAATGGTCACAGCACCAAGACTGAAAGCTTTTATTAAGTGTCTGGACAGTACTCTCAGGCCCAGGGTGTGACTCCTGGGGATGGTGCTGGGCAGGGCCAGGAGCTGGGACTCCATGATCCTTGTGGGTCCCTTACAATTCAGCTTATTCTGTGATCTACTAGGAGTGGATGGGAATGGGAGAGAACAACACTGCAGCTTCTCTCCTTCAGCTCCAAGAAGATGGAGAGAACTGGAAACACTGTGCTAAGACACTCTTAGAATGGTTTGGGTAGGAAGGACTTTTTCAGGATCTTCTACTCCAGCCCAAATATCTGATGTCTGAGTTGAAGCTAGGTTACAGAGGTATCTTACCACAGGACTTTATATATTGCATTAACAGAAAAAAGTGGGGGGAAAGCAAAATATTCTCAAACATACTGTCAAGCATATGCCCCAGAAAACAAATGGTCATTCTGCAACAGCACACTGAAATCTCCCTGAGCTGGAATAACTTTTGACTTTATTTCTATAATTCTCTTCATTGAACAAAATGTAAGAATTACTGCAGCACAATTACTAACCTGCTCTGAAATATTATCTGCCTTCCACATAAGCAACAAAAGTAAGCAAATGGTTTCAGATACAGTTATTCAGTAATTTCAAAACACAGGTAAATGCCCAGTAAGAGCCAAGTGTATTCATTTGATTTTGTACATACCAAGTGTATTAATACGATAGATGAACTCCTTAAAGATTTCCTTTTCTTGTAGAAATTCTACTGGAATTTCAGGGAAAACTGTGCCAAAGTCACCTGAAGGCTTTGGTGACCAGCCTAATTTCCAGACCTAAAGAAGTATAATGCAAGTTCAATTATCCAAACCAGATCTAGTATTTATATTACAGCTCTAAATATATAGGAACCATTCAAAGGCAACAAGACATCAATAAATAAAAGCAGTTCTCCAAACAGAAAAATACTCAAAGGAAGACAGAAATCTAACAAAACTTATATACAATGTATAGCATATTTCTAATTTTAGGGCTTTTTCCATCATACTTCCCACTGTAAATTAATGATCCAGTTTTATGGTCCAAGTTTATCTATAGAAGCAAGTAAGTTCTTGTCACATATTTCAGTTTAGAAGCTGTGCAGAAATTATGCTGCAACAGACTTTAAGGAAAACAGTTCACATACTAATGATACCTGAAAAAGCACACTGATACATCAGAGAGGGGGCAAAAACGTTTCAACCAAAAAACTTATTATGTTTTCACATCCCCTCAAAAACAGAGCACTAAGTAACAGAGAAGTGGCCTTGCACATGTTGTTACTCAGTGTTCAAAAAGAAAAACTGATTGATCAAACTAGCTGAAGGTTGAAGAACTTCAGATGCAGCACCATGTTTGGTTTTCAAAGTTTTTCAACAACTTTTAAAGTCCTGAAAGCCAAGCATAATAAACATACCAAGGGAGGTACTCTGGTGTAGCTGTTCACTAGAGGCAGCCTTGCTAAACTGATGATGATGTTCTTGAGGACAGGAGTGAGAAATGCAGGGATGCTGCTGTTTCTTTTGTGCCCCAGTGACAAGACAGTCTGTAAGCATTCCACCATCTCAGCTATCATTTCACATGCTGCAATAATGTGTTTTGTTTCTTTGTTGGGAGAGAAAGAAATTCAGCTTTACAAATCCACTCAAAAGACAAATAATTTAAAAAGACGGAAACACAAAAAATTCTTAACGAAAGAGTATGTTAATTAAAAAGGACAAAACCACAATAAGGACATACACAAAGAAATTTTTAAATTTTAAAATACCACACTTTAAAAAGCTCAGTCTGTAGCATGCTGCACAGCTAACATAATCCCCCCCAAAAAAATCTGCATTAATGTATAACTTTCTAGAAAAAACAACTATACCTGTAAAAATACAGCAATCTATACTTAATAGATTTACCAACAGACATTTACCAAATACAAATAAGATGAACTTTCATTGTTAAAAATAATAGTAATGGAAATGGTACCAAACAATATTTCTTCAGTGAAAGTTTAGGGCAGAAGCAAAATCCACTGTTGACTTACTTTGTACATTTGAATCAATTTCCCCCTCACTTAAAGGTTTTGAAGTATTCTTTCTTTCAGGACTCAGAAGTTGATTACCAGGTTCCACAGCAACTGAATGGAAGAAAATATTTGAATGGAACAGCTATTACCTATTTCATATTCCACTTTTTAATCAACACCACGTAGTAGTCAAATGTTTGACATATCCCAGGCATTTACAAAGTTCAAAAGTAAACACTAAATTTTAAATGGAAAATTAAAGTAGTAAAAACTAAATGTGTCAAACAAATTATTAATAAGGACTCAAAGGAAATATTCCAGATACACAGCATTTGATCACTGATGACTGGCAATCTATTAACAAAACTTTTCTCCTAGCTGATCAAACTGCACTCACCTGCTTCTATGATGAATCTAATGCAGTTAATTAAGGAGCAAGCATATGTCACATGAGCTGCAGAAGACAGCAAATTCCAAAGACTAGGCTGCTGTAGTGTCAGACAGCAACAATCCAGACCAGCTTGAAGATCTACACTTAATGGAATCTGGTCATGCACTAAATGCCATGATAGTGCCTGTACAAAAAGAGAAGCTCCCCATTAACAGCAAATTCTCAGAACAACTTCTAACCAAGGGTGACTTTTTTTAACTCAGCAAAATGTAAAGTATTAGTAGCAAATAATATTGGGGTTTTTTCCTCAAGAAAACACTATTTATTTTAAGTACAAGAAAATGATGACATTTACATACTGTTTATTAAGTGTCCCAAAAATCAGTGCAGGACCCATTCTCCCAAATGCCAGCATCAGTCAATCAACCTCTCCTTGTATAGGGGCTGTCCTTGTCCCACAACCCAAATCTGATTTACTAGCAAAGGTCAAACACAAAAAAAACCCCAAAAACAAAAATCTAAGAAGCAATTTCTACAGTTAAGAAAAAATAATTGCCCCATTCAAAAATTACTCAGTGGTCCCTTATCCCACAACCCAAATCTGATTTACTAGCAAAGGTCAAACACAAAAAAAACCCACCAAAAAACAAAAACCTAAGAAGCAATTTCTACAGTTAAGACAAAATAATTGCCCCAGTCAAACATTACTCAGTGGTGATCAGTTTAAGATAGAGTTGTTCCCTCTCCCAGTATTTAATTATATCTTTAATTGTGGTGTGGTTTCTTACCTCTATTGACATCACTACGAATTTCAGGATATCACCCTCTTTGTCAGGAGGAACACGGAGACCAGCTGGTAGTTTTGAGAGTAACAACAAATACTGAGCCAGTGCACGACAAAGTGTCATCATAGACTGATACATCACCTCATCTCCTATAAAATAAGACTGGATGAAATCTAGCAGTTTGATTTTTTTTTCCATTCAATAAATGATTTTCAGAACTATTTCATAAGCACTTTTATGCCAGGTATCTTGATTTTTTTTTTTTTTTTTAATAGTAAGTTCATGTATTCACAAGACATCTGTAAAGTATCTTTGCAGAGGAGAGAATAAACTTTAAAAGATCATTATTTCTATTACCAAAGATATCGCTTAGTTTTTTCCAGTAGGCTGATGGCTCAGTTGGCAATAGTGGCTGAAAAACCTGGTGGGTGGCTGGAAGGTTTTGTACAGCAGCAGACACATGGTCCAGAGTTACCCTCCGAGCTGTTTCAAAGAGGCTGCTCTTCTGCTCCCTTGAGATCTCATTCATGCCAAGGCTTAAACAGGGTGCTAACAAGCTCAGGTTGAATTCCTGAAATCAAATAGGAGATTTTTAAAAATTGCTTTTAAAGTGAAACTAAGTATCTGGTGGTATTATTCTAACATACTAACATGGTAGTAAATTTACAGTTTATTGATTAACTAACTTATTATTAGTACCTCTGCTCTACTGTGGTGTAACAATATGGTTTAGCCCACACTAGATCCAAATTTCAATTCCCACCAGCACCATATTGGAAAGAAAAATCAATATGCTTATTCCAGATTTTCAGGACAATGTGTGAATAAAGCTTAAGGATGATATATACATATACAAGGAATCTTCAAGTAATGAAGTATCTTTAGAAACAGCTTCCCCAGTATTACTTCTGATTACCAGTAGCAAATAATCATGGTGAGAATATGAACAAAAGACATTCTTAGATACAAGTTGCCCTTTTTTCCAGGTTTACTGTGGCCTGTTACTGTCTTAGTGCAAGTCATCCAGCACAGATATTGAAGAGGTTACAGAAACAGCTGGCCTTGGAAGAAACTGTATGGCAAATCAAGATTATGTAAAACAACAAATTTGGATTTTTCTGATTGCAATGCATAAATAAACCTTTGCTTCCACTCTATTTATTCAACCTGTACTACTAGTAAGTTACTATCTGCAACATTGCTAGACAGATATCCACTGTTTTACACAAATATCTACTATTTTAGTTTCTAAAATTAAGTAAATTAGTATTATTGGTATATACTATCAGTATTATACAAATTTGAAGTGTTTACATTTAAGAATGTAAACACTTCAGAATGTAATCTATTAATACTACCAATAGGAACACTTGAACTAATTTCATCCTCTTCCTCTGACAAAGTTACCTTGCTGGTCATGAAGGAGTTCAGGTCAGGCTGAGGAATCCTGTTCACCAGCTCTGCTCCTTCTAGAAGTGCTGAGTCAGACTTGATGTAACACTGTGACCGCACTAGTGACACATACCAGTCCTTCAATCATCAAAAAAGGAAATTTATTACATACTCGTTTTCAGAAAACAACACAGTATATGGGGGCAGAGGGAGAACTGCTCATTAGCACTGAACGTCTAAGACATCTGTAGGCTACATTAATATAAAAAATAACCCCTCAAATTAAAAAGCAAAGAAAAAAAAAACAAACTGGTGAATGGAAATGGAACATATTGAACTGGACCAATGGATGTTCAGTGACAACTTGTCTATTTCCATAAAGTCTGCACAGGAAGTGAGGAAAAATTGATCTTAATATATGAGTGTAGGTACTTGTATTAGGATCCTAAACCTGACCAGACAATCCTGAAAAAAAAGTATGGAATACTCAGTAGTCACACAAATATAACAGGAATTAGAGAGAAACCAATACTATAACCAAGGAAGAAAACTCTACAAATATTTTTTTTTTCAAATATTCAAATAGTTTTGCTGAATTTAATTATAACACAACTAAACCTGTCAGAGTTCAAGGAGCATCTGGACAATGCTATTAGTCATAGGATTTATTTTTAGGTAGCCCTGACAGAAGCAGGGATTTGGACTCATTGATCCTTACAAGTCCCTTCCACTGTAAGATATTCTATGATTCTGTGAACCATGCAGAAGTTGTGGGGGGAGCATACAAAAACTACTTTTGTTTAGAATTTACAGTGACAGACAAGGAGATTTTTGGGGCAATTTGAAGACAAAGCTATGGGTAAATGGTTTCTGGGCACAGCAGTTTCTCCTGCTGTCCAAGTAGGTCTCAACATCCCCCCTAAGCCAGTGACTGCTCAGACTCATCCTAACTATCAGTTAATCAAATAATTTTTGCCATCTCAGTTACATAAGTTTCCTATTACTGTGTATCACTATAGAACACTGAGGGATGAAAAGGAGAAATTATTTGTACCATGGGACAAACTAGAAAAAAGGGAGGCACAGAAGGCCCCAAGACTTGCTCTTAGCCTTCCACTTCACTTGGAAATAAACACGTCTAAGTTCATGAAAGACAGAAACACTTCAGTATTCGTGATTGTACTCTGAAAGTAATTTAAAGCTGAGAAGGAAAAACTGAACAAGCAATGTTTAATTTCCAAGAGGCAGCCAACAACTTTCAGCAAATGAATAAAACTAATACTGTAGTAAAACACATCAAGAAAAGAAGATTATTTATCTGTCTCTATTGAACTGTATATAAATGTTTCCATTAAAGCTGAGCAAAGAATCCAAACTTGGTAAATTTTTCACAGCACTGTCAATATAACAAACATCTATGTTTGTGCTAATCATCCATCCTAAGGGATGTTCAACAGTCAGCCAACACACATGACACTAATCACTGATCTATTTTTGAGATACAATCTGACAATCCTGAGAGCATTAACTGCACAGTAAAAATAAGCTGCATTTAAATATTTTGTAAAGAATAAAGCTCGTTTATAGCCAAGGCACTTCTAGTGACGCTTTCTAAACATAATCTTACTTTGTCTAGAACTACATTCTCTAAAGGTGGTTGGTCTTCTCCATCTAGTGGGTGTGAGGTGACCAGAGGTGAGGGACTGGTTGTGTCTGGTGCTACCATGAGACGAAACCTATCCAGGAGTGAGTAGAGTCTTTGGTGCCTGAAAACAGAAGAACACATCAGCTGAGGGCTATCTTAGCTCTGTAAATCATTTAAAAATAAATCCAGTTTTAAATTTAAAAAGACATCCAGTGACTCAGTTCCAATCCCAGGACAAAGAAGCACTATGCTTTTTTGATGCAAACTTTCTTCAGGTATCAGAGGCCAAAATTAATTAACTCAGCACCACCAACACATAAAGATTTAAATTTAATTTAGCATTAAAATTAGTGATATACCTAAGCTTAAAATACAGCTTTCTTTATCCAGCACATCTTTTAAATGAGTAAGGAGAGTCAAAGTTAGTGTAATGATTATTTGACTGCAAATAACATTTTAACAGATGCTAATCAATAATTCACTAAAACTATACTTCTATTAAAAAAAATTATCCCTCACTGTACTAAAAACTCGTTTCCAGATTTATGTCAGTGTCAGAGATTTTTTTTTTTGATACAGGTTTTTTTGTGTTTCTTTTTAAATTCCACTACTGCTATCAAGAACTTGTACAAAGTAATTTTTAATTTTTTTTTTAATTAAATTGAACATTACCTGGGTAGGCACATTACTATTGATCTACTGCAGTCTCACATTTCAGGTTCTTTCCCCTACTTATTTCAGTCAACAGATATTAACCTCAAACAGCAACGACAAGAGGAGTAAATAAGGATCTTTCCAACATCAAATAGAAGTTTTTTAAAAAAATAGTAATTTGGTCCTTTTTATACAAGCAGTTTAAACAGCCAGAAGACTAAACAGTTAAAACTTTTAACACAGCTGTCTGGGAGAAAAAAAACCAAAAAGAAAACCAAACTAAAAGAACCCCAAGCCCACTTAGCTTGAACTGACAATATTTTGCAAGTTTGAGGAAAATAAAACTCGCTTTAGTAAAACAGATTTTGTCAAGAAATTCATTTGCAGCTGCTATCTCTCAAAAGGTAAATACTGAGTGGGATGCAGGAAAGAGAATTTGAAGCAACCTTCTAGAGCTTGTTTCAGTTCTTAAGTAGTTCTTACTAAAAATTCAACACAGCCAGCACAACTGCACCTTGGGCCAGGACACGCCAGCATCCTATGAGAGGCTTTAATCCCAGTTTACTCCCAAAAACAACCCACTATCTGACCTCTAGGAAAAAAGCCAAGATGTGGGAAAACAGAGTGAACACGATCTGTATTACAACACTACTTAGTTTTACATTTTAATGGCATTGTTGGTATTATTTACCTTGCTGCTAATCCACTGTTTTGAAGGTACTCCTGAATTCTATCCAGTTCTTCAACTGGTAACTGAGCAATGCTGTTCTATATGAAAAAAATCACAAGAATTTTACAGGACAGATATATGTAAAATCCCCAAAAATACTTTTACCAGATCAACAAAGTTACAGGCAGATAAAGTGAAATAAAGTAAACAGCCACATATGTTACCATAGGACACACAATGTAAACACATTGCTGTTCTCAAGGAAAAAAAGGGAAGTTGATTTTCTGACTCCAACATTTATAGATTTCCAAAAGTGACAGTGGTGGAGGGTGAAAGCGCCACCTCTCCAATGACACTGGACAAACCAACAGTCCATCAAATTTCTCCTGCACTATAAACGAATGCAAACCAATAATTTATTTACAGAGAGTGTGTGAGAACATTTGCTACAAGAACGCAAACATCAGAAGGCTTAGAAAACCTTAAAAAATCAGGGCGACACACGTATCTATATACAAAATAAAAATATGCCAAATGAAATCACTTGTTCCTATTTTGATGTCACTGCTCTTGACCACACTGGGGGCACCTGGGTGCTGTGTACCTGCAGGGTGGCTGCCAGCAGCATCTCCACGCGGCGGCAGGCCAGGGTGTCCACCATGCGGGCCAGCACGCGGAAGGGAGTGCACAGCAGCTTGTCCACGTACAGGGTCAGCACGGCCCCGGACTGGCTCAGGTGGATTCCCTCCAAGCACTGCAAGGTCTTCTTCAGGGTTGTGGGCTATGTGTTCAAACAGCACGGAACAGAGAAACAGACAAATTACAATCAATTTGGAATACAAAGACCTTAAAGGGAAAGACACTCAGAAAAAACTACAGCAGAAAACTACCGATCAATATAATCATCTCTGTGTCAATGAGCTACTGGGTCATTTAATTAATATGAACACTAAGTTGTTTGATGTGTAACTGTAAAAACTCACAAGAGTAATCAAAACATAGGAAGCAAAACTTTTAGGGGAAAAAAGCTAAAATTTAGGTGAAATTGCACAAAGCTTTGAACAGAGTGAGAAGCTTCAACTCTTTTCTGGAGGAAGGCAGAACATGTGCATAGTCAATGCACAATGTGACAATGCAGAAATCCAGACAATTCCTGGGGGGTTTTCTGAGCATTTGTTAAGAAACAGCAGTAGCAACTCAGGATTAAAAGGGTATGCAAATAATTTTTAAATTTTTTTTTTAATGTAAGCACCAATGCAGCACTAATATTCTAAAGGGAGAAATACAGAGACAAACTAGTTTTACTCATGAAACCAGTCCTGGTTTAGAACAGTCTGTTAATATCAGCTGTTTTAATTTTACTGTCTTTCCTGATAATCACCAAGCATTTCACACAGACTACATCTTCCATTAAAACATATTCAGTTTAGTTCATTCTGCTGATTCTCAGCTAATAAAGCCCAGACTAATATCACATAACTTTAAAGCTTCCCTAGATTTGCGCAGAGACAATGGAAAGAGATAGAAAACAGCACTGAAGCAACTCAGGGTGCAGGTGGCACAATTATCTCTAGATTATAATCACATTAATCACAATTATCTCTAGAGAAAGTCCAGCAAATGAAATTTCCCATGATTATGAGAGATGCATACAACCTTACATCCCTACAAAACATCATCAACTCCTTTTAATTTGAAAACTAAAATAATCAACAGAAATAATACCCTGAATTTCTCAGTGATTTTCCCACACCAAGTGGCTACAACTTTCAGAACAGATCCATGGGGAAGGCATGAGCTCACAAATAATTTTCATATTATCAGGGCCTATGAAGATGGACTGGCTCCTACTCCTGCCTCTGTAGTTAGTTTGCTATTTATACTATTAAGGCATTTAAATCAAAGTTGAAAGTTACAGCTTTAATTTATCCATTAGATATTGATTATGTGGGAAAATATCCATTAAGGAAAAAAGAAGCTTAACCATCTCCACCTGAATTCATAGATTTGATGGACTGGAACACATCTAATGCTGAAGTTACTAATATAAGGTTCGCTGCTTGCATTTTTAAGTAAGTGACTTTAAAATAAAATTAGAAGTTGATAAATGACCCAGAAATGTCAAACTTTGCATACTTATCAGTTAAACCTTATGCTGACATGAAGTGCCTTTATTCTTTACAAGAAGTCAAAAAGTTAAACTTACAGCTGCAAGATTCTCACAGCGTGACTGAATGGCCTGGATGAAGAGACCACTGGCTGCTGAATTCCTGTGAATGGCACTGATAAAATCTTGTACTGGAGGCTCATGGGACAGATTAATCAAGTCTTGAACATGATTTACAATCAGCCAGGTCAGGTGTTCTGAATCATGTAGATTTTGACACTAAAGAGGAAAAAATTAAAATTTGATTGCAGTAATTAAAATTAAGACTGCAATTACTAAACATGACACAACATGAAACTTCTCATATATAATTCTGGTAGATATTTTGAAATAATGGCATAGAGTGTCTGTATCTTAATACCACCATCATTATTTTTACAAGATAGATTTTCCAAATGTTTTGCTCTTGTTGCAAATTAAGGTATTTGCCATATGCATGCAGAACATGCAGCTTATTTTTCTAAAAACAATAAAAACCAGGTTAGAAACAAGTAAATTGAGAAGGTTGATTCAAAGATGCTGCTTTTAATGAAATGGGTTTGAAATAAACATACACACAGAATTGTCTTGCAAAATGTGACTTTCATCTAAGCTTCTTTAAGATTTCTTATTACTACTGGCCTTTAACACAAAATGAAGGATTTCTGGAAAGCAAATCCAAAGATATCTGTCAATAATTAATGTCAAACCCCTAAAGGCTTGTGTATATAAACAAGCAGTGGAACGCAAGACGAAGATATCTGTAGAGTTAACCAGGCAATGCTGAGAGCTTGTACAGTACCTCAGTAAAGAGGTTTTTGGAGGATTTTACCTTGGACGACCTCTAATCTGACTCTAGTGACTGTCCATTACTACTTGAAGTGCTTCCTAAACAAAGCTTTCTGTTCAGTTGAACCTGAAAGGAATGCAGTTTCCTTACCTCAAAACTGATGTGAGCTGCAAAGCCAAGTGCAATACCTCCTACAACTGAAAATTCACTTCAAAAGTTCCACTGGGAACTATAAAACTCTAATATTGAAGCAGCAAAAGGCCAAAGCCACAGAAATTGTTCTCACTGAAGAACCAAAATGGAAGTTAAAATGTTAATGTAAAACCTCTTTGCTTACAGTGTAGGGATGGAAATTTGTTGTCTCCTGGACACCGTGCGCTGCTACTGATGTTGGGAAGTCTGGAACTACGCAGTGTGCTCCAAACAACTCCCAAGTAAGGGATGTGATACCAGAAGGTAATTCTATTGCCCACCAGATAAACTTCACAAGTCAAGAGAACTCACAGTTCAGAACAGAAAACAATGCCAAATGAGGTCATATCTAAGCTTACAGAAGCACCATCTGAAAATAAAATTACTAGTTTCACAGATCTTCATTTTTCACTTAACACACTTCACTTTTCAGTTAACACATATCAGTAATAAATGACTGTCAGCATCCTAAAATAACTCAAAACTGTAGTTATAAAAGTCACAATTCAAAACTCACAACATAGTCACAGAAGAGAATGAGTGCTCCTCTTCTCACTATCTCACGATTGCACATGCCACGCTTAGATTCCAGGTCGGATTCATCACTGTCTCCAGATATATGAGGGCTAAGCAATTTAGTAGTAGAAAGGCTGTGTCGCCTGCAAAATGTACATTGTATGTTGTTACTATTTTCTTGGTATGGCTACTGAAACATGAACAACCAAAGTGCTTGGAGTATCCTACCAATGTCCTTATATGACACCCCCTTCCCTGTAAATTTCATTCAAAAGTGTCAAAAGTAGACACTTTGCTTTCCATCAGATCTTTATTTTTTAACAACTGCAGCATTGCTTATTACTTTTTCAGACAGTCTAAAGAATTAAATCACTTATTTATAAGAAAAACACATGCTGTTCCATCACTGGTAGAATAATAGAACCTAATACCGTATTTTCTTCTCAAACCAAACCAGTGCTCCTGAGCACTTAGTCTAGTGTCAGATTAAAAGTGATGCCCAACCCAGAAAAGAGATGATACTGGTAAAAAAAAAAAAAAAAAGTATTGCTATTTTAGTTCATAGAATCATCAAATCCAACCTTTAACCTAGCACCACATCATCGCTCGCCACTAAGCCGTATGCTGAAGTGCCACATCCACACACCTTTTCAACATTCCCAGGGATGGTGATTCCACCCTTCCCAAGACAGTCTTTTCCACAAAGCTGCCCTGCTTTGCTCATAATCCTGGTAATTCCATGTTTCCACAAATCAGAATAATATATTTTCAATACATAAGGTTGAGCTGAAGCAAGAATCTCACATTTGTCAAAGTATTGATGCACTTCAGGTGGAGAGCAAGATGAGACTGCCCAACACTCACTGCACAAGCACCAGAAATGTCCCTCAAGTCACTTGTTCACCTCCCTCTACAGTTAACACAGAGGAATACCCATCCTCACAGGAGGTCCCTTCCTTATCCACTGAGGACAATTATTCCAATGCATGACAGGTGGGATAAACTAACTTCAGACCAAGAGAATACCCATTTTAGAACCCATCTCCAAATTTCAGACAACTAGTGCTAAGTGAGGTTATTACAGTGCTTGATGCTAATGAACCAGCAGGGTGCTAACACCATGTTTTGACAGCATTTAGCAACAGACCCACTGAGAACAGACCCACCTGTAGCTACAGTTATATGATCAGACTGTATTACCACAAACACAACAGTGTCCATCTTCTCCACTGGCTGGCTATTTCCTAGAAAGTGAAGTATGAGGTCTCCATATAAACATGAAACACTGAGTATTTTGCTATAGTTATTTCCATAGTTTCAATAAAAAGTAGTACAAAGATGAAGTTTTCTTGCCTTAGAAGTGGAGAGATTACCTGGCAGTTCTTCTGAGGAGCAACTGAGTGCAGGAGACATTTCCTTAGTTTGGAAGTCACACCAATATCAGAACAGACAATATGTACACACATAAAGTAAATGCAGAACTACATTTCCTAATCCAAGCAGCACCATTCAATGACAGGCTTGGAAGAAAGCAGCTGGATTGTTTTACTATGATTTTAGAAAATATAATTATATGAAACACACTACTAGGGAGCAAACCCAAAACTTACTTTGGGGTTTGATGCACTTCTGACCACCAGTTGTAGTTGGTATAATTGACAAGAAGCAAGATGTGACACCAGAGGAGAACTAAAGAAGGATGAGTGGGAATCATGGACTGAACAAGGTCACTCAAACTCTCAAGTGTATAGAAACTACCATCAGATCCATCTCCTGTAAAAAGTCGGGTGGCTGCAGCTGTGATTCTTCTAAACATCCCTGAAAACAATAAAACCATGTTAGAGTAACAAAGCTCTAGTCTGAATTCTGAAGTTTTAAAATTATTCAGGGTAGAATTCCTGCAAGAAAGGTAAATTTGAAGCAGTTTTACAAATTTAAGTGATGAAGTTTGCCCTAGGGAAGTGTGTAAACCAGAAATTGCCAGCTCTCAGATTCAATAAATAATGTTTTGATAGGTTTCATGACAATTATCATTAATTGGATACATTAAAACCTTCATTAAACTTAAAACTGTCACCTGTGGACGAGGGTTAGTTAGTTTGTTTGTAAATTAAAAACACAGATATTCTACTTAAGAACCCTGAGGTAACTACCACTCTGCATGTTAAGGAAGAACACCTATGAGTATCCTGTTTCAGAGGATGCAGTGTGTAAACCAGAAATTGCCAGCTCTCAGATTCAATAAATAATGGATTTCATGACAATTGTCATTAATCTGATACATGAAAACCTTCATTAAACTTAAAACTCTCACCCATGGACCAGGGTTTGTTTGTTTTATAAATTAAAACATGGATGTTCTACTTAAGAACCATGAGGTAACTACCACTCTGCATTTTAAGGAAGAACACCTATGAGTATCCTACTTCAGAGGATGCTTTCCAAACACATTTAGTTGAAATTAAATTTATTCTCTTTCATCCAGTTTCTAAAGTGCAAAAATTACATATTTCTGCCATTACCCTGAAAATAGAACACTCAGCAAAAAAGCAGAATTTTGCTTTCTGAATTACTGATTCTGTGTTTGTATGCCAAAACAAAGGTTTGGGAAAAAAGAAATTAGAAAATGGTGGGAAAACAAGGAAAGTTGTCTAAAGGTATAGGACTTTGAGTTTCTATGCGAAGATAAGACCAGGGGGCAAAAAAAATTTCTTCAGAGTCAGTTTGCTTTCTGAATTACTGATTCTGTGTTTGTATGCCAAAACAAAGGTTTGGGAAAAAAAGAAATTAGAAAATGGCGGGAAAACAAGGAAAGTTGTCTAAAGGTACAGGACTTTGAGTTTCTATGAGAAGATAAGACCAGAGGGCAAAAAAAATGTCTTCAGAGTCATTTAGGAACCAAGAGCTAATCAGAATAATGAAAGAAATCTGCAGTGTTACTTGCTTTCCTCGCCAGACATGCAGAAGAATGAAGCTGTAAATTCCACAGCCATGTGGACCAATTTAAGCTGCCCCCAGGACTGACAAACACACAATGTAAATAGCAAGGAATGGGAAAAAGAGCTGAATCTCAAATCTCTGGTTCGACTTATTAGCAAAGCCCCATTCCAGCTCCCTGCATTTGCAGAAACTACACCATCTAGTGCCTTCCTACAGGCATAAAAACCATTGCATGCTCATCTTTTTATTTTGCCCATGCCTTTTGTTTCTAACTTCAAAGGAACAGATTGAGAATGTTCACTTATAATCTAGCAGCTTCCTACAGCTGGAAACACAGGAGTCAGCAATGCTCACATTTTGAAATACTGCAATGGGTGAGAAGACAAACCATCTAAGTAGAACTGTGGTTAGAAATTACAGAATACAGCCTATGTTTCCACACACAAATTGCTGTAAGCTACACCCATAGTTAGGAGAATATAACTTAAAGAGAAAATAATTATGGAGGTTCTAACTGAACAAAAGAAAAGCATTAGAAATTCAGGCAGTTAGTTAATCCTCAACCTAAATAAATATGTTATGACATGAAAATACAGCCCAGACGTCTGAACAACTTTTCTTTTACTCTGTTACACCATACTGGTACTAGTGATAGTAATATACCTGAAGTTATTTGTAGTTTTACATTAAATTAATTTCTAGAGATCATCCAATCCACATATCTCAGTGCTCTGCATGAGTATTTTAATATTTAATTTTAATTTTGCATGAAAATTTCTACATAATTCCTGGCAAGACTCCCAGTGCGCCCTGGAAGCCAGTCACAGCAGCAGAACTGGCTGAGCCTTCCTTTCAATTATCCCCAGCCTCCACTGTGGAAGAACCCACTGCCCCAATTTCAATCACCAGCCTCATTTTCTGATTTCCTTGCTCCTCGCTTGACACCGTTTAATCATTTTATTCCAAAACACCCTGGTATAAGTTATTCGTTATAATATTTGATTCAAATATTTCTCCTAAACATAGATGAATATATAATTAAAACATATACTATTATAATTAGATAATTTAATATCTAATAAATAGTATAGAAATGTATTAAAATTATTACTGTAACAGACACATGGGAAGAGAACTGTCACTCTGTTTGCCCAGAGTTCTGCCCCCTAAAGAGCACCTAAAACAAAGATTAATTTTGTGTTTCCTCACACACACTCCTGGAGCCTTTGCACCAAGAACCTCAGTTTGGAGGACTCCCCATTTTACAGACCAAGGCAACAGAACACAGAGTTCCTTGTCCCATGTCCCCAAGGAAGCCTATGAAGAACCAGGGACTTGTGCCAAGACCTTTTAAATTGCAGACAACTAAGAGTAAACCAAGGTTGCATTTCAGCTGCAAGCTGAAAATCAGAAGGCAAAAGGGCAGTTATAGCAAGAAAGAATAAAATAAAGGCATGATAGTACCACTACTCAGAAAATAAGACTAAATCAAGCTATGAACTACAGAAGTACCAAAGGGGTAGATATTGGGTATCCAGCAGAAGAAACTTAAGAGAAAATTTCCAAACCTGAAGAAAGGAACTCAAGACCAGCTAGTTGGAAAAGTGCCACCTTTCCTGGTTTTCTGGGGTGGTTTTTTCTTTGGTTTGTTGGGGGTTTTTTTTGCTTGCTTTATATATTTTTATTAATTATGGCAAAAGCCAGGAACCTTCCTTGTCAGGAGTCTGAGCTAGTGGTCTATGACTCAGTATCTCAAACTGGACATACCAACCAACCTCCAAAGGAGATAAAACATGAGAAATACAGTCACAAATTTGGAATGCTTTGTGCTTTTTGGACTGAAAAAACTTAGACAGTTACAAGGAGAGACGCAGAGTCACTAATTACATTTTGTTCTACAAAGACAGAAGAAATGTGCAAAATGTGCCCTGCATGCATAAGCACAACGTTTGTTAAGTTCTCTACATGGAGTAAGATACAACATCTTTAGCATTTACATATTCCTTCTCAGTAATTCAATGCATTTATGAGTTGTCAAGGAACTTAAAAAGCCTAGCACTGCATGCTATGACCTGATCAACATTTCAAGTATTACCTGATTTGAAGATATGTATTAAGCACATAAGCAGCGTGCCCAGCTCCTGGCAGTAGAAAGTGTGTTGCTGCTCATTCATGTCCACTTTTAATTGCTTGGTGACAATATCTTCCAGTAGAATGCCAACCAGTTGTAGTAAGAATCTTGAAAGAAACACATATACAATCAATAGGAAAATTACCAATCTTGCAGAAAAAGATGAGGTTAGCCCATGGGACTTTGGTTTGAAAAATAAAACATGAAGTTCCTTTCCCTCTATCCTAAATAACATACTAAATAAAATGCTACAGAACAGGTTAACCTAAAACAAATAGGATGCTATATGATCATGAGCACGTCAATAATTACATATTAAATTCAGATTCTCTCTCATCACCTACAGTCACATTAGCATTGGCCCAACTCACTCACAAAGCAAATATTCAGAATGCTGTGGTGTCTTCATAGTGATTTGCTAAAAGCAATTGAGCTAAATCAAACTAAAACCAATCTATGACAGTCACCACAGCTCAGCTGAGCAGGGGTAATTCAGCAAGTCACAGTAATGCACCTGTTTACCTCACCTCATCTATCCATACTCTACTACACAGGTTCTTTATCAAACCTCCAGCTGGGACAATGTGGTGTCAAAAGAAGCACCAAAAGAGGGTATTTGAGAAAGCCATCCTTGCTTCTGGCCATAACCACAACTCCATTACTTACATCACTGCTGTTGGACATAAGGTCACAGTATGGGTGTTCCGAAAACCCTCTTCCCTCTATCCACAGCCCTCAGAGTGAGCTGAATAACATCAAACAGCATTCTATTCCTATCAGGAGTTCCCTATTTCAGTAAAATATTATTTTCTTAAACAAACAGCTATTTCTAATGCTTTCCACCACATTAAAACATAATGCCTTAATGACAAACATTATGTCAACATAATACTGCTGCCATCTCTCCATGCTTCTTTTGCCTGAAGTATATCACTGTCCAAGGACATCAGCATGGGAAACCAACTAAACAAAGCTAGGTCTTAAAAAGAAGAGAAAAAGAACAGAACTAACTCATTAGACTTGAATCTCGCTGCTGCCAAGTTTCTAATACAGAACCTGGGCTTCCACTTAAAGGGATGTTTCATCATTCAGTCCCCATCCAGTCCTCCACACACACTTGTCCCATGTCAACTTATTAACTTATTGATTCCACTTAGAAGTTTTATATGTGTTAAATACTGCCCAGTGTACTTGTGATTTCTCAGAACTCTTTACCTTTCCCCAGGTTATTCAAAAGACAGTGTACCTGGAAAATGTCTCTTCAGGTGGGTATTTCACCTGTTTGACCTCAGTGCGATCCTCTGGTGGGGACATGTTATTTTCTCCACATCTCAATCTGTTGATTGCTTGACATGAAATCAAATATGGTGAGAAGGAAAGCTCTTGTATACGGGATAGAACGATGTCTTCTGTTGACTGTGAAATCAGAACTCTAAGGATAGCTAAAATTCCAGAAATCCACAGCTGGACAGTGCTCACTGATGCCTAACACAAACACAGAAATACAGAAGACTGAATACTTTTGAAGTTAAATGACACAACATAGAAAGGCATTTACAAATGAGCATTTTCATTAACTTGTGAAAAATCAGACCCTTTTGAGAACGGAGCAAACCAGAAATAAATTCCAAGTTCGTATCTTACAAAACCCTATTCCTGTGGTAACTGTCAAGCTCATATTCACTGGTAAACAATCTCTCAGCTACAAAAGCCTTACTAATACTTATATTAAAAAAATGTAATTTACCTATTAAATTTTATTCTATTTTATTGTAATAGTACCTTCCTTTACATTCCTGATCCTCAACATACAAAATGAAGGAAAGTAATTCATAAGCAGAACACTCCTGTATCAAGTACTCCCAGCTGGTAAATCACATTAGTTGTAGTCAATTTGTTCCCAAATTCTGCTGCTGGTACTTTAACATCACTTAGCAAATTATTAAAGAGAAATTCTATTTGGTTTGCATGAAAGATACCAGATTCTCTCTTCTCTGAAAACAGTAGCTTACCATTGTTTTAGGAGTAACAAACATACTCCTTAAAAGCATGTCCACAGGGCGAAGGGATGAAGGGGCCAAAATTTCAAACAAAGTGTTCAATACTCCCAAAGCATCATGAGAGTCTATATGCATCTGTGAACGAAAAAACACAAAAGTCATTTCTAACTGTCCACTAAAGGTAACTTTAAAACAAAATTTACACTCTGTGTATTAAACATTTCTGTAACAACCTGTAATAAAGCTGTTCTTTACAGTACCAAAAGAGCAACCAAAAGCTATGAAAAATAAATTTAAGTTTAATTGCAGGCCTTCCCAGACATGAATTTTAAGAACATGGACAAAAATCTGTCATATGAAATCCAGTGTGCATACCACATATATTTCATTTGAAGAAATAGGCCTTATTCAGAGAATGAGACCAGAGGACTGATTTGTCATAAAATTTAGAGACTTTTCTCCTCATTGCACATCCTACCAGGTTTATTTATAGACTGCAATGCTGGTCACGATTAAACTTATGCAGGTAACTAGGAGAAAAGAAACCTAATCATCAGAAAAGTGAAGAGCTACAGTGGTAGGACAGCTTACTTCAACAGTTTTCTAGATAAATTATAAAGTAATCAACTGCAAAAAGCAAAGGACTGGACTACAAATCCAGATTACCCTATGCTGCTTAAATAATTTGGAAGATGATCATGTCAGTCACACAAAACAACAGCAATTTCATTTTGTCAGCATTTCAGCTTTGCTCTAAAACTGTTGTCTTATTCTGCTTACTCTCCCCAGACACGAGATCTCCTCCCAGGACTGGGGAACTGCTATCATGGAGCAAAGAATATCTGAGGCTAGAGCACCTCTGCTATGGAGACAAGGTGGGAGAGCTGGGGTTGTTCAGTCTGAAGAAAGCTCTTCCAGTACAGGGAACTGGAAAGGGACTTTTTGCACAGCCAGGTAGTGCTAGGACAAGAGGGAATGGCTTTACACTGAAAGAGGTGGATTTATATTAGGAAGAAATTGTTTCCTGTGAATGGGGTGGGACACTGGAATAAGTTGCCCAAAGAAGGCATGGCTGTCCCATTCCTGGAATTGCTCAAGGCCAGGTTGGATGGGGCTTTGAGTAATCTGGTCTGCAATTAGACCCACTGCAGCCATGAAAAAAATAAATCTGACATTCAATGAACATGGGACCATCTTCACACCATTTAGTAAGTGTTCTGATATTATCATATATCTAAGAGAAACAGAACACCCTTACTCTGGAGACAGTCTTGACCATTCTGCATATACTTTATGCATTTACATAAGAACTTCATCACTTCAAAGACTTAAGTTTACCTTGCAGCAGTTGTTTTTTCCATATATGGCAAACTGAATTTCAAAAAGATTTGTCTTCATATTAAAAAAAGGAAAAATCAAATACTCAAAGCCACTATTGATACAAACATTCCAGCAATTATTTAAGGTGTTTATAGAATTAAAACAGTGATATAACCACCTGCTGTTTTGCAAGCATTGGGAGAATGATGTCAGCTATTTGCCGAGACAATCTCTTCCATTTGTCTTCATTTTCTTTATGACACTGTTGCAATACCAAGATGAACATTTCTAGCACCTGAGGAAAAGTAAAAAAAAAAATAAGTAAACACCCATACTAACAGGAAACATTCCAGTCATATCATAGTAGGAAAGAACATTCATTTCCACCACCTACCAAAAAGGCAAAAGGGAAAAAACCCCCATATGAGAAAATTGCACATTTTTAAAACCCCATTTTCAGGTTAAAAGTCTGTCCTTAGTTACGAGTTTTTTGGTGGTGACTTTTAAAGAATTTTCCAGCTACTTTTATAAACTTGAAAAAAAAATGTTTGTTTTGTACTTTTAAAAATGATATTTGTCAAAGACTACTAAAACAACTGGAAAAAAAATCATAAATCTAAATACCACACCACTTACTCAACAAAAAGGGGAGGAAGAAAGAGAGCAATTTTCCATATATATACTCTGTCTTAACTCTAACTTCAATAAAGTTTAAATTTTTTTCAAGGAAACAAAACAGACATTTTTATGGGGCTCATCCACCTGAGATATGTCACTTTCATATAAAAGTTTTAAGAGACAACAGAGTACACCAAGCAAGGAGCATTTCTGGTAGCTGGATGTGTTATAGGTTTGGGGTTTATAGAGACCACACTTGGAAGGACAGGAAGACAAGAGACACAGCATGCAAGAATGTTAATATACGGACTGGGAAGGGGGACAAAAGAATCTGTTTCAGGAAACAAGTTAGAGCACTTGTAAAGCAAATTCAGGTAGTTCAGATTAGGGAGAGGGAGATTCCCAGGTGACTTTCTTCCCAAAAGATTCTCTCAGGACAGGAGATAGGAGCAATTCCAAAACTTAATTCTGGAGCTCCATGGGTGGCAGCTCCAGTTGCAACAGAAAGAAGTTGAAGGCTGCAGCTATGGGAACCTCTCAAATGTCCAGGAAAATCACTGCAGACCATCCCAGCCACAGCCAGGGAACCACAGAACAGACCAGGGCTGGTTTATACATATTGCACCAGCAGAACAGGGTGGAAAAAGAACTACAAATGGGATGGTGTGGGAAGAACAGTGCATGGGTGGTCTTTAATAGGTTAAGTGTGTCAGAAGGGGATCTGCCAGCAACTGCAGTACCTTATATAACAAAGTTATTCACTATTTCACATCATGTGTCTACAGAGTGTCATTTTATACAGTTATATTAGTCATTTTATGATTATAAAACTACAAATTCAAAAGAAAATGTGGATACACAAAATTACCCCAATCTGAACACGCAGTTCTAACAAATTATTTTGACAAGATGTACTGACTTTTTTCAGAAAATACAGTGCTTACATTAGCATACACTAGAACTGCATTTTCACATTATGAAAGAAAGGCACATCAGGTTTGTTAAGCACCTGAAATAAGCAGTAAGATCCCATGTTGATCATGACACTTCTCTTAAAATTACTTTTACGTTTTTCTTTAAAACAAAGTGTATTGACAAAAGTCATTGTTACACTCCTACAAAGCAGAAACATGTTTTCCAAAGTCTGGGTCAAAGTAGAAAGTCGTAACAAATACCTAATTACCACTGTCATTACCTTGTTCAAGTAAGTGTTATTCAAGTACAGTAATACCTAAACCATCTCCATGAAGCATCTTTCCTAATTTTAAACTTGTCTCCTTCTCCATTTTACTCCCATTATTTTAAGGTTTTTCTCTTCCATCAACCTTCTGTTTATTCTGTCTGCAACACAGCCAAGATCATGATCCTAACTGGAGCTTTTTAGTTTTTTGTTTTCTAGGCTTGACTAGGAAATTCTACAGCTATGTTACTTGACCTAAAATACTAACTTGTAGTGCAGAACCTTTCCCATATCCTTAAAAATCTTTGCATTCTCTCTCTCTACAAGGAAAGATACCACACAGAGTCCAGCTATTCCAGTTTTGTATAGACAATCATTAATACTGCCTGAAGCACTTTTAGCAGTCACAGCAATGTTACCCTTTCACAGACCACAGAGAGGGACCCTTCATCCTCCTCTCTCCTACCTGGTGGTACTGGATAAGTCTCAGCAGCATTGACACTACAACCTCCTTCTGAGTTTCCAGCTCTTTTCCAGCATCAGCTTTATTTGTTCCTCTTAACACAAAGAGATCATGAACAATGGGTTGCAGAGCTGGTATTGCTGAAATGAGATGTATTTGTTTTAGTATGAGACAAATCACTCCTGAACAGTGATTTCTTGAACTAACAGTTCAGTTACTAAAGGTAAACTGGGTTCTAGTTCATTAAAGGTTTTACCCATACCTAAAAACCCACAAACCCCATATTGATCATGCATAATGATGGAATTTTTTTTTTACTTCTTTTAGAAAATTTAAATTATGGACATATTTCCCTATTCTCACAGAGCTTAAAAAAGGATATTTTTATAAAGTATTCCTCTGCAGAATCACTGTAAAGTATGACAGAGATGCTTCTACTTAAAGGCTGAAAGTAGAAGGAAAGGGGAATGGACAAAAAATTAAAATCAAAGTCTTGCACATACTGCTAAGTTGTGAACTTATTACTGAATAAAGTTTTAAATAAAAGCATTGTTGCAATTATGAACAATGCAAAATGTGGGGCAGCAGTGTTAGTGTGATATAATAAATTTCCTGAAGGAATTAAGTGAAAAGTATTTCATGTCTTAAAAGTTAGTTCTTCTGGAACACTCAGTATGATAACAGTTTTCTATAGCTTAGTAGTCAACACTGGATTTATTGTTGAACTATTACTAGTAAGAGTTGATGCCTTTTTTCTTTCTTTCTTTCTTTCCTTTCTTTTTAATAGCTTTTTTGTGTTTTGAATTACCATGTGTAACAGCTTTCCTCCCACTGGCCATGATACCATCACACAGCTGAATGATCTTGGGAATTCCAATTATTTGTTTGGAATGATATCGTTCATAAGACAGCAACACCAGGAAAAAGAAGATATTAGGAATAATTGCTTCAGACTCCCTGAAAACAAAACAAAAAATTCCAGTGTCAACTTTTGCACAGCTTTGTTCAGTAAAACCCATCTTTTTACAGTCAAGGTTTTATTACAGAATATGTTGGTCTGGTTTCATACAGTACTTCTGTAATTTTTGTGCCCTGTTCTATAAAATGTGTTTTTCCCCAGGGATTTCTTTCAATCTTTGACCACTACAGCTACTAATATTAATACATACTGTCTAATGCACATTAGATTATTTCTGTAGAAGACCCACAGAGCAAAAGAACAACTTCTCTCTTCATTAAAACTCAAGTGTGAGAAAAAGCAGAAATAACTGACAGTAAAAATTTCACTGACTTGCTTATGACCATTGTGTACCAGGTGACCAGAGTACATATGGATTCACCCTGAATCCACAAGAGGAAAAAGTAGCTCTCCCTTAAGCAATTGCATCTAGCAATGAAATGCTGATTTCTGGAAGCATAGCTTTGGCAGGGGGGCCCAAAGGAATGGGTTTACAATACCAAAATGGAGAAACAAAACAACAAATCTGTAGACTATATTATTATTATTATTATTATCCATTTTACTTCCTGACTTTTTCACTCACATGGAACCTAAAATATGTGCAAGTTACCATTGGAGCCAGAGAATAAACAAGCACATTGCTAAGTAGCTCTCCCTTAAGCAATTGCATCTAGCAATGAAATGCTGATTTCTGGAAGCATAGCTTTGGCAGGGGGGCCCAAAGGAATGGGTTTACAATACCAAAATGGAGAAACAAACAACAAAGTTGTAGACTATTTTATTATTATTATTATTATCCATTTTACTTCCTGACTTTTTCACTCACATGGAACCTAAAATATGTGCAAGAGTTACCATTGGATCCAGAGAATAAACAAGCACATTGCCCACAAGAGAACTCTCCCTTTCTCATAAGGCAGAAATAACCAGCAAATCTAATTACTACATGTGACACATCACTAGTTTTTCAGAAAACAAGACAGTTGCAAACCCTCATTGTTCAAAGGCTCTTTGCCAATTTCATACCTGAACTGTCCTACTTCAATGTATTCAAACTGCTTTAGCACAAATCCAATAAACACCTAAAGAGAGAATAAAGTGTGCATCAGAACAGACATTAATTTCCATTTGAAACCATTTTGACAGTTATGGACAGGCACTGAAAATCATTTGCACCACATTATGAAATGTTCCCTCTGCAGTTACAAAAGATGGAGAAATCTGTTGAGTATTTTTTACAGCTTGCATGAACTTATGCCACGTTTAACCTGTAGTCTGTATATTTTTAAGTATAACTTCATCTTTCATTCATGAAATACAATATTTGAAGTATTACAGTCAAGAATTTAAGAATCAGATAAAAATCTAAACTGAGATAAAATCCAGAATCCACATGCATTTAGAAGAATTCTCTCTTAATGAACTTACAGAAAACTTAAGCATTGCAAGTCACATTCATTTATATACCTGAAAATAACTGTAGTAAATAAAACATCTCTAAGTAAACCACTTAAATTTTATGTTACAAATTCACTGCTTCTGTGGACTACACAGACTATTGTATTTGCTACGAGCTGCCCTTACTGCCATTAACATCAAACAGTATTTGTCAACCATGATGCTCATTATCAGTCATAAGGAAGTCCATACTCTCAAGTATGGACAAAGGTATTTCCATTTGTAAATGAAGTTTTATTTAATGAAATTGACTGTCTTATCCACATCATTTTATTCCTGAAGTCCATCTCATGGGCAGTTCTTAAATAGCTGTTGCAGAACTCAAAAAGTCATTCACATGCAAAAAAACCCCAGAAGTCTGAAGCTATTTGTGGCTGAGGGCTGGGAAACTAAGTCTCACCCTCCTGTTAAGTCTTCACTTTTAGTACAATAAATGGACTGCTGGAAATATTTTTGCTGCAGATGTTAACTGAGCCTGCTGGTAAGATGTGAATGACAATTTGCAAATGTGGTGAGGTACCAACCTGATCTGAGTCCAGGAGACAGTAGTTAACTCGCAGCTGAACCAGTTGAGCAAGCAAGTCTAGAACTTGTCTCTGCAGCTGTACCGACGTTGTTGTTGTGTATTGTTTCAATGCTTTTATGACAAGGGGTTCAAATAAACGAATGTGATTGTGAATAGCATTCTGTAATAGAGAGATTTTAAAGTAATCTAACATCTGAACATGTCTCTGATTCAAAGCCAAATTAGTTTTGAAAGGAGGAAAAATGTTTTAAATCTAAGGTACAGCTCTTTCAGGAGAACACAGATACAAGTACCTTATCAGCACGATGTTTTGCTGCACTGGAAATGTTAGTTTTCAGCTGTGTAGAAACTTTCTGCAGCACATCAAACCATCTGTTACAAAAAAATACAAAAACCCCACACACATTAAAACAAAATACAACAAATATACTGTTCTTAAATGCATTTTACTGTGCCAATGCCAACTTCCCTAAATCTACTTGACTGCTTCAAGAATCTTAGTAAAAACAAAGGGCAGAGACAACCTACAATACACTTCAATCAGAGAAAGATTTTATAGACTTTGCTTAGTTATCCTTTAACGCACTATTTGCTGTATTTATAAATTAATAATATACCTTTGAATACAAACATTTAAAATTATTATGCTTTTAAAAAACTTCAGTGATATCCATTTTAATGGCTTAACTTTGCTTAGGAAAACACGTTAGTGATAACTACATTCAGGATGTGCTCACCAAGACAAGCTACTCTGCTTAAGTCTGTATTTTCAAGTTACACAGCACCCCAGTGATACTCACATTTATGAAAAACACTAAGAACAGAGTCTAGTACAAGATAACATTATGAGGAGAGGGAAGGCAGTTACCCTGAAGCATCGTGCTCCTGCTCAGCCTGAACCATGTTCCTCAGACTGGCATCAGCAAGGGCCTGTGTGAAGTGTGTGTAGGGTGCCATGAAGCAATAGTGGTAGAGACCAGGCCTCAGATTGGAGGAGCCCAAGCGCTGAGCTTTGCCTTGAGCTTTGCTGGGGTTTGAAGACAAGCCATCATACTGAGAAGCCAGATTTGTCCCAAACAATGTTTTCAATAACTAGAGAAGAAAATTGGAAGGAAAATAAGAAAAGTTAGTATTTCAGGGAAAAAAACCCTTGATTTGTCTCTTACTGTAATTAACCTTTGAGGACTTAAACCTAAATATTTGACTGGAAGTCTGCAAGAATTCCATCACTAAGGCAGTCAGTTCTTTGCTTTCTGGGGTTTGTTTGATGCAGTTAAGTGGCTGAAGAACACGTTCGGGAAGGTAGGAAACAAGCTTGTTTTCTGAACATCAGCTAAAATAGTTGTGTGTATTGGAAGCAGTTCAAGAGGAAACCAGTATCAATTTACAGAACAAGCAGTGAAAATGAAAGAAAATGTGCTCTGTTTCCTCCACCTGGGCCAATGTTTCTAGATACCACTTCCCTTAAAAGCATGGCCATTCTTAATATCCAACTGACAGCCAAAGAACATCAAGATTAACACTCACACAACACATAAAAAAATAACTCCTTACCTGCTGTACACACACTGTTGCCATTGTTGGCTCTCTGTTGAAACATGATTTTAGATATCCCAAAATTTCTTCTACACACTGGAAAAATTAAAAAAAAAGTGCATTAAATTGTGGGGTTTTTTCCATTATATAAAACATTACAGTGAAAACTGGTCAGCAGCACAGGTTTTTGTACTAAGTAAAACTACATTAATTTAAGGGAAATACAGGAATTACATAAATAAATATTCAACATTTTTCTCCTAATCTTAAAATATTGTGTCTAACATCACAATTAAGGAGAAAAAAATGGCAAGACACAGGAGAGGAAGGAGGGCAATAGGCCTTCTGACATTTTGTATATTTAGGCATATGAATATAGGGAATGACTGAAGACAAACCATTTGACTGGATAGAAAAATCCCCATGTGAAATTTAAAAAGCAAAAAATTATTGGTGTCAACAGCAGTAATTTAACCTGGAGAATTTGCTTTAGCACTTCAGTCAACTTTGTGGAAGCAAAACACTTCTAGGACTGGACTACTGTTCCTTGGAAAAGTAGCAATTTTGAAATCAGTGATATGTGCTTTCTCCCAGTAAGGACCACAGATACTGGACAATGTTAACTCCAAAAGAAAAAACAAACAAGTCTTATACCTTTCCAATGTCCTGAAGAGTAGCAAGTTCCAATATCTGAGAGAGAACATCTAAGGCAGAGCGTAAGAAACATCCAAACTTCTCATTTGTGTTCTGGAGATCCAAAGTAACCTGTTCCCAGAAAATAAAACCACATTACTTGACAAGGAGACATAAATTACTGGAAGTGGGTATTGACACAAAATGATCCTTTGTATAAAATTTCACTGACAGCTTAGACTGCCTTATGCATTACTGGAAAGACAGGACCCCATTCTAAGAAAAAAAAGGAATTTTCTTGCTTGAGGAAGCCCTAGGGCATTGATAAGCAATGGAGCTGGATGATGCATTTCTGATAAACACAGCAGGTGTAATAAGAACACAGTCCTTGAAGTGTACATATCAGATGACAAACACTCAAGGAATGCATCTTCTGTCACCTGAACTAATGAGGAAAAAGCTTCCCCATCCTGGAATAAAGTTCAGAGAGAACAAACATGGGGATATATTTGGGACTGCCTAGCCAGCAGAGTCATTTGGTACCAGCAATAATGACAGCAGAGAAACAACAGGGTGACAGTGCCTATCATGGGTTGTTTGGCCAGTTTTTGTTTTTACTGGTTGTAGTTGTGATCTCTCTTTAAATTCTTTTTTGTGTGTGTATAAACTCTTTACACAAGTAAACAAGTGAGCTGACAGAGGCAGAGCCTCTTTGAAAGAAACAAAATGATTATCCAACCCCAGTGCAGCCCAATCAAACAATATCATGAAGTACCTTATAATTAGCATGGGTTGCTTTCAAGACATCATATAACTTCAGGTATGATGGAAGATGATAAAAGCTTCCTACTGAAGATGATTTACTTGTTGGAACAGGTCCTGTAGCATCAGTTTGCCTAGAAGCTTAAAAGAATATCACAGATTAGCACAATATGCCTTTTCTAGGCTGCTCATGAAATGTACACGACATAATTTACTACATCTGCATTATTAAACAGCATGTTTTTTTCAATCCATGTATATTCCAAACTGCAGACACAAACTGTGCACAACTGGAAAATGAACAGAATTCCAACGATCCAGCCTGCTGTGGTGAGAGAAATTAACCCAGAGGGCTTAATATTGAAGTGTATGTGCAATTTACAAAACAGAATTAACACGTGTTTCCTTCATTTATTACTAATGAAAGAAAAGGTTTCAAGATTCATAATCTTATTTCCAAAAGCAATGTAAGTCACTCCTGCCAAAAGCCGCAAGTCAACTTTCAAATTTCTTTTAAGTAACATATGTGCAAAAATTATTTTAGTCAATAGCTGAGTAGATTCACAAAAAGCGATGAAAAGGATTCAGCAGTGCTTTGGTTCTGAAAAGTACAGTTAATTTCCAGTTTACAGTTAATAAAAACCAAAACAGTAAAGAAGCCCCCACCCACAGCTGCCTTTCCACCAATGCAGCACCCTGCCAGCCTCTTGAACTGAAACTCCTGCAAGGTTACTCAGTTTTATTTCTTCTCACTCTGCCACAACATGGCGTAGGGCAGGTAGATGGAAGGGTTAACAGAAGTGATGTGCCTACCTGGACTTGCTTCACCACTCTTTTTAGGGCTCATGGGCACAGATGCCTGTTCCACAGACTCCCTCTCCTTCCCCTTTCTCCGAATAGGACTAAGAGAAGGTGGGTTTGTGAGAGAAGGTAATGCTGCCTAGAATTAAAAGAACTTTTATTAGTTTTATAAGCAAGTACTTTTTTTTTCTTCTACAAAAATACAAGCATGTTTTTCTCTTGTTTAAACTCCTCTTGACTTGACTGTCAGTTAAATTGAAATGTTTCACGTTCAGGACATGAATTTCCTATGTGAAAAGGAAATAGTTGAATATATTCTTCACTTGATTTTCAACTTCAGCACAGGCCAATGAGATGAAATTAGAGCTCAGTGACTACACTTCCTTTTGATTCCAGATACAGGAGTGTCAAAATTATATTCAAACATTTTTAAAATATGAAGAAATTCCTGATCTTAACAATACTGTCCCACAGTTTCTAAATCAGTCTCTAAATGCATATTCCTCAAAAAAATCTCAAAAACCCCCAAACCTGGAAGTACCTTATATAAGCTGTTTCAGAAGTCAAAACATTTTACAGGATATTCAGAAGATAAAAGTCATTTTCAGCCCCAAAAGGAGCTCAGTGCACTACAACCAGCCAACCAACCCAAAAGTCAACACACTTCCCAGAGCATGCAATCCAATACTTCACATACTCTGTACACTCTTCACTGAATCAATGTTTCAAGTGAAGTCAGCAGCAATAAAAGACTCAAAATTTAGGGTAATGTTTTAAACACTGTAGAACTAAAGAAAAACCTTCTTCATATGAAGAAAAATAGATTTTTTTCATGGTACATGCTTTACTACATAGTGAAGTCATTCTCAAGGAATTAGGTACTTACCTGTATCAAGTCTAAAATGTGAAGAGGACAACAGTATTTAAGCACAACAGTATTTAAGTCACATAATTTTATTTTTAATATATACCTTTACTGCTGGACCAGGAGCAACATCATCCATCACATGTGCACAAATATTAATGACCTTCAGCAGATGAGAAAAGAGCTGCTCTACTAAAGTGACCAGAGCTCGATCTGACAGAGCTGGCCAGGGCTCCTCCTGCTTTGCAGCACCTTGGTTTGCATCTTCTTCAGTACTCCAGGGATTCTTTAAGCACTTGGGAGCACTTGCTGCAATTTCAGGAAATAGAAGACAAAACTTGGAATTAAGCACCAGAAAATTTTGAAGGCAGCTATGGTTATTGTCTCTATATGAACAGAAGTTCAATCAGAATTTCAAAATCAGGAGTAGCTGCACAGTGTAAAACAAAACCAACAAAATTTGAGTTCTTTGTACCCAGCTTGTAGCAAGCATGCCCTTTGGCAACTGGAGGAAATTTGTAACTTAGCTACAAAGAGGCAGTTTCTTTTCAATTCTCCTGAGTGCAAGTTCCTTCTTTCCTTCTTCTGCTTAATCTTGCAAGTTTTTCATGGCATTCAATCAGAATAGAGTGAGATATGACCATTCTAATCCTAATGGTAAAAATACTATGATAATCCTACTTTTCTTTTCGTGCCTTACCTGCAAGCAAGTTTCCAGTCAAAATCAAAGCATCCTGATGTGCTGAGAGGTCCAGTGGGAACCATGCTGATGAAAGGAGAGACAGGACCAAGCCAGCCATGCCAATGGTGCAGCCCTTCTGAGCTTCATCTGAAGAACTTGGCTGGGAAACACTGGAAGTTTAATTTTGGAATGTCATGACTTTTTCCCCCTTTTGGCAAATTAAAAGTCTTGAGAAAAGCAACAGTCAAGTAGATGGCTAATCTAATGAAATTAAATCTGTGCTACAGAAATACTCATTTAACACTTAAATACAACTACAAAAAGCAATTTGCAGGAGAGACCTGACAATGCTCTGGTTTCTTTAAGAGCAATTACCTTCCTTTTGATAGCAAATATCAAGGCTATAGTGACATCTACTGATAAACTGAAGAATTCTGTATTTATTTCCTACCCACTACAGTCCTGAACTATTTTCAGTTAAGTCTTGTGGATATGCAAGGTAAGGATGGGAGACATTAACTGTAGTATTGCAATGTAACAAGATAGTGCTTTAAAGTGACAAGAAATTAATCAAACAATTGCATTCCATCAAATCCTCTATATTTTTTGAGTGAACGCTATCCAAGATGGTAGTTTTCTGCTGCATTCTGTATTTTCCTTGACAATAATTTGGGTTTGGATTTTGGTTTTAAAATAAGACAAAGTCTCCCAACCAAACAGAGTAAGAGACACAGCAATAAAGAAAATCAACACAAATTATATTCAATCTATTTAAAAACCCAACAGCTCCCCAGGTGCACATTTCCAGTAGCTACTTTTACTGCTCATATCACACAGCACCAATAATCAGAGAAAAAAATCAAAGCTTTTAGGCTGCCACCTGTACATTTTCATCCTGGAGAAACTCTTCAGAATGTAAGTAATTTGGGACTATCATGTATTACCTCTATTAACACTTAAGTATTATAGACACCCAATTTGCTGTTCCCACTCAGTGTGCCAAATGAGAACAAATTTAAATGACACTGTTATAGAAGCCAAGATGAGCCAGATTCCTTGACCCATCATTTTTCAACACAGACATGAAACCAAGATGAAAATGTTAATGTTCAAATTTTAAAGAGATACTTCAAAATATAATATCCCAAAGATAAACATCCTTTCAAAAGCACGGAGTATTTTCTCCTATATCATCTTTCATAGATTCTGACCATATCTATCTATAAGAGCAGACACCATGGTTCCAGGGATGACAAATGCTGGCCCTTAATACCCTGACAACCTGAAGTCATAATCCTCTGTATGCTGTACAAAGTTCTTAAAGAACTGCTAAGGCAAGCTTAACAGCATATACCTAAACCAGAGCTTCAATGCCCAAGTAAATCCACTTCTATTTCATAAATGTGACTTCCAGAAGCTCAATTAACAAAAGAGGGAACATACCCACAGTGCCATCCCACACTCCAGGTGCAGACTGGAAATGTTGTGGAGAGAAGACACAAAGCTTCACAGCAGCCAAACTGAAAAGCAGACACCAAGAATCAAATTACTTTAACCAGGGGAAGAGTTAGCAACACAATATCTGAGGAGTGAGAATTAAATTTATTACTACTGTCATTGTCACAGTACAAAAGCCCTAAATACAAATATAGTCAGGAGATCATGAAAGAAAAAGGAAGCATGCAAAATAGGAAAAAGTCAGCAATCATAGCAAGAAAACTCAAAAGGAACTTGTATGTACAAAAACTCACAAATAAGAAAACTCACTGTAAGTGCTCTTGTAGTGGATATTGTCAATGCATGGGAAATTGCTGCAATAACCCTTGAAAGGTTGTTTTCCATAGTGACATCTGTTGGACTCTGCAGCATATTGTAACCTCTGTATGCTCTGAAATAAAAACATGTATACCCACTAAAACATGTACTTAAAAACCCCATCTCAATAAAATTATTAATTTTATTACTTTATTAATTATTAATTTCATTACTTAAATATTTAAGCTTAAATTACTATTATGAATTTCAGACTGCTTGTAACATACAAAACCAGAGAATAGTCTAAATACCATCTCATATTGTAGTATTTTTGGGGTTGTATTAGTAAATGCTATTAAATTTATAAATAAAACCTCTTTGTTAGCGAACAGAAATAGTAAATCAACTGTCAGTTTCTAACTAGATACTTGAGAAATGACCACCAATTTAACTTTGCTGTTATCTTTGCTGTTGCTCAAATGGATTCAACATTTTTGCATGCTCACAAATTTTGGATTATTGCTGTAGAAACTCTATTTTCTATCCAGAATAGCACTGGATCCACAAAGTTCTATTGCTTCCATACTATAGCATATATCTTAAGTGACATGATCAAGATCATATATCAAAAGGTATATAATTAAAAACTTGTATGACAAACTGATAGAATCCAACAACCCCTATAAATATATACAACTCATACTGTCTTATAGACAGAACAAGTACAGCTGGAAGCACAAATACACCATGATCTCACTATCAAAATTAGAATTTATTTTTAAATTATAAAGGGAGTACAGCCTTCTGCAACCACAATCATTAAATAAGATGTGGGGAGTTATAAATCTGGATCAACATACCTGAAGAACAGTAATATACATACAATTAGCTTGAAAAGCTGGACCTGGTTTTATAATTTAATGGGCAAGTAGGGTGACTCAGGATGGAAAGAAGAAATTATCTCAAAACAAGGACTCAGCATGTGAGCACTGTGTGAGTAACTCACAGCATATTCCTTGAACATGAGTCAGTTTCTGTGGAGCTAAACCTACTACAGGTGCTCCTACAGACTAGAAAAGGAATTAATAAGCACATGGATTTGCATGATTTAACTACAATTCCAGACACTGCCAAGTGAAATTTGGGTCTCCATTCCTTTTGAAGCAGGGCCAGCAGGTAACACACCTGGTGATAGTGCTCACTGCAAAGTGAGATGGGGGCTGTGTTTCATGCATGAGGAGTTTCAGGTAGACACTGCTTTGGTCTCGTGCTACTGCCACCACTGGGTCAGCCTGTCCTTGATCACAGTTATAAAACAGCTTTGGAACAAGCCTGAAAGAAAATTAAGTGTCAAAAAGAAAAGTTATTATTCAGATATTGTTTAACACCCAGTTTCAATACATTTAATATACAGTTCAGCAAGCTATGTATGTTACTTACACATATCCAATTGTAAATAGCTATTACCTAAATTCATTAAGCTGAATTTAAGTAACTGCTCTTCATTACAACCAAGGAGATCAAGTCAGGACAAAGCAACTGCTCCAGACATACAGTAATTAAAAATAAAAAACAAGTATTTTCTTGAGATACATCCCCATACATACTACAACAAACACTTTATACATAGATTACTTCTTTCCTGCTGTTCCCTGATCTCCCCAGATATTTTTCCCATGAGTATCTGTATCAACTGAGAACTCATTTTTACTGAAAAAAAATAATAATTTACCATCTGATTCCTATGCAGCAAAACCAAAACATAAAATCAAATCCAGTCTTCTTGAACAACAATATTTTCAACTTATGTCAAAGTGAAAAGCTATTTTACACATGTTTTTTGTAATCTCAGTGAGGGTACTCCCAATGAATGCCCTTACTGGATGCTTCAAGGGGTTTCTACAAGCTTGTAGTAGCTTTCTTGGGCAGATTAAGTCTTTTCCAATCTTAACACACCTCCTGTCACTAAGTCAGCATGAATATATATGTGTGTGTATATATATGTATATTAAAAACACCCAGTGATTATTTTAGTTATACACATCAATATGCAAATATCTTCCTAAACTACTTTTTCTTTTCCTATAAATGAAGATGTCCCATGTACCTCATTAATGAAGCTGCAGCCACGTGTCTCACTCTTGGATCTTCATCTCCAAGCAGACTTATTACAACATTTTCAAGTACTCTCTCCTGAAGCTTTAATAGCTAGAAATTAAATCAGCACAGTAAATAAAGTTCTGACCATTTTCATCATTTGACCATACTGTTAAAGGAGAGTTAAAAAGTGAGACTTTGTCTCTCATACAAGCTTGCAAGACCATCTTCACTTTAACATTGCCAACCACATTCTCTAACTACACAAATGTCAATTTTTTTAAGTTAAAAGAGAACAAGCCACATAACATACAAACACAACAGAGAAAACAAAGCTATCTGAATCTCCATACATTTCCAATTGTAGTAAGTTTTAGAACCTGAATCTATTTACACAAAAAATACAACAGCTATTGTTGACAGAATTTAAAAACAAAGTGATGACATTGAACTGGTACCTTAAACCAGAAACACAATATACAGATTAAATAATTTACTTACACCAGTATAATGATGAACACCTCTGTGCAAGCTCTCAGTTTTTCCTTCCAAGAAGTTGACTAGCCTATGACAAAATAGAATTTAGAGTACATTAGTTAACATTGTGTGTTATTTCTCCCTTCACTGTTCTGAGGGTTCTTTCTGTTTATTTAAAAAAAAAACACTACATAGAAAATATAAGTAGTAAACACTTTTTGCAAGCTTTAGAAAAGGTAAGTTATTTGCTAACCTACTATCTGGCTAGTGTAACTGAAGAAAAATAGTCCTTCCATTAAAAAATCCCATTATTTAAAGACCATTATTATAATTGTATTTTTCCCCATGCACAGAATCATCAGACTCTTTTGAAAAGCCAGTAACATATTCCAAACATCACCATTCACAATGAGTCCACTTTTGTATGACTAAGGATAACTTGAAGAATTTTCATATAAACATCTTTTTTCTTTCAGCTTGGAAAAACCAAAAGAGAATGAGAGAATGCAAGGAAAAGAGCAAGTCACATTTATTTCAGTATTAAAAGAAACTGAGTGACTACAGAGAGCTGTCAACAGAGTACATGTCAGGGACTTTCTTTTTAAAACACACAAAATTGGATGGAAAAATTAAATTAAATTCCAAATGATGTGGTCCCTCTCTGATTGCACACTTACAGAAGACTTGATACAACAGAGCAGTGAACAATAAACTTCAATACAGTGTTACTAGGATTGGGCTTGGTTGTGCAGTCAGTGGTAACTTGACAAAAGAATTCATAGAGGATTGACTGATCTGAATTAGTTTTATGAAATTCATTAATGCTTCAGAAGAAAATGTGCCATTACAGTTACAGTTTCCCAGACTTCTCTGCACTTCAGCTACTACACTCATGGAAAAATACACTCACCGAAAATCTACTTCTGCAAGTGTTTCCAGAAGCTCTGTCCTTACAAGCCAATATGAGCTGTTCTTCAGAGCAAGGAGGTCAACAATCAATTGCAAACCTAGCTCACTGTAACTGCTACTGCATAAGCTCATGATGCAATGCTGAGAAGAAAAAACAACTTTCAGTTATATTACAGAAGAGGTTCTCTGAAAAGCAGAACAAAAGTCACCAAAAAGCACCTGTTTTCTTTAGGATACTAAAAAAAGTTATTTCATAAGAGCTAGGATAAGCACCAGAGCTAAGTACCCTGCAAGGCCAGAAAACCATCTCCATGTGAACTGCTAAAACGTGCTGCTGAAATTAACTTCTGGACAAGAATGCAAGCCACACGGATCAGAGGCCAATCCACAAGCACTACACTGTCATCTGTTCAAAAACACTCTCCTAATTTCAACAGGGTACTTTTAGACACCTGGTTCTGGTTTCCAAAGTTTTGGAAAAAGTCATACCTCCATATTTGAATGTTCAACTATAGGCACAATGTGTGACCTTTAGAAAAAGTGACAGAACTCCACACTTCCATGTCTTATTTAATGACACAAAATGTACTTTCTTGTTTGAGGATTAGCAACCCAAAAGGATTAGAACATTTCTGCCAAAATGTGTAGTCAGACCACATTATATACTGAGAAAAAGCAAGAGCCAAAGTTGACTAGTACTAAGTTGCCTGAACTGAACAATTTGGGTGGTCATCTAAAAAGCCATTATCACAAGTGTACTCACACATGAAATCACTACATACGTAAGGATTGCTAAACAGAAGGTTAAGAAGACAGCCTCATTTTACCTACCTGGATTTCTTTCCCTCAGCTGTATCACAAGCCCCTCCTCTTTGCATATAAAACCATACACAAACTACCCACATTTTACTAAAATTTATGCTTTGCCTCACAGGTCCTTAAGTCTCTGATTTGTCTGTGTTCTACTTTATTGGAAAAACTCTCAAAGAAAGCTCACTCCTTCACCCCTCTGCTTTTTTCACCAAACACCTTCCACAGATTTTATTACAGAAATAAAATTCACATACTCTAAATTCCACGCACCAATTCAGCTGACTTCACTATTTCAACAATTGCCTGAGGAATCTTTCACCCAATTTGAACCACTTGATTTCCTGACACTTTTCCACTTTGAAAAATTACTGATCCATAAAATGATCACTATTTTACTTGTCATTTCTCACATTTAATTTTTATTCTCCAAACACAGGCTACAACCAGGTGTTATATGTTCACATTCCCCTGTTTAGCCTAGATAGCCTTTCTATCTAATGCACTCATCCTACTGTTGGTTAATGCAACATTAAATCTCATGCCAGTACCTTTCTCATGAGAAACATCATGATTAGATTACAATGCTACCATGATCTAACCACATAATTCAGTGCCAATAAAGTTCTTCAGGAAGAAATCATTTTATGCTGGATGTTTAGACATCTGCAAATAGCAGCACCCCAGTAATGAATCACAAATCTGTGATCTGTGGTGGTGCAAATAAATTCCTACTGCTTACCCTCACAGCTGTACAAGCCAGTTTGCATGTAACAGAGGATTCATCTTTCAGTGTTTTCTGCAACAGAGGTATGCAGTCTATCAAGGAAAAGAGATTTCCTAAAAAAAGAAAAAAAAATTGAGCAATGAAACATAGCAATGTTACATTAAAAGACAAAAAAGATACCCATAAAATAAATTATTACCTGTTGAGCTTCTGACATTTATTAGCCATTTTTCCACATCAAAGCGGGATTTAATTAGAATGGAGTTGACAATTGTTCCACAGAGAATGGCAGTAGCTCCTCTAATCTGGGGATCTCCATGGTCAATATAGTTCAGAACGTCCGACACATACTGCTCCTCTAAGAAAATAAGTTACAACTACTTTATTTTAAAAATACTAGTATCAGACTTTAGTGATTCATAAAAATGTTGGAGTGGAGGTCTCAACTATTGGACAATCAACATCAGCATATCCAAAACATGCTCACCATAGTTCTCCCCTTGTGAGCTCCCTTTCTGTGCATGCAATCTGCAGATCAATCACACCCTTCAGACCAATGATCACCTATTTAAAAACACTAGTGATTTATTTCAACTGTATACAAAATGCCCCAGGGAAACAGAAGAAACATTTTGGTCAATGTATCAAACCAGCTGCACACTCCAGGTCCCTGTAGTTCATTTGTAAAAATGAACCTAATGGCTTAGAAACCATCCATAAGATGGACTAAATTAAACTGGAAGAAAAATAAACAAACCCCTTCCACATACTCATTGTTTTAAAACAGCTTCAACTTGTCAGAAGCTCTACAAGCTCATCCACTGAAAGTTAAATCTTGCTACAAAAAATATACCTCACCAGCATGTTCATTCCAATTTGTGCAGTTTTGTTCACAAATACCAAACAGAGTTTGGAGTTTTCAGGGTAGATACTGCCTCACTTATCTAAGAACCCAAACACACTATTAAAATGGGATATGTGAACTGCAACATACCATACTCTTCTCCCATTGCCTCCAGAGGTGTTTTATACAGTTTGCTGAAGAAAGACTCAGGGTGAAGTGCAACAGCTGCTCCAACACAACTTACTGCCAAGGCTTTTACACTGACTCTCACATCTCTATCGGGAACTAAAGCTGTGGGAAAGAAACAAACATTATTAAAATGAAGGTATTTAATAGCTTCCTGAATTGTTTTAAATTTAATTAATAACACTATATAAAATAAAATAGCCTAGCCTGTACAAAAATATGAAGGTAGAGCAAGCAGTTCCAGTTTGTCAGAGGCAGCAGTGATATATGGGCTGCTTTTTTGCTTTCCTCAAATGAACAGTATTTGAAATACATTTTAAATACTCAAATACAGCCATAACATGCTTCCAGCTCACCTCCTTCCAAAAACAATACATTATATGGGCATGTGAGCAAGTAAGAGTTTAGGAAAAGGAAAAATGAACAAACACCTTAAATCAGTCATAGACCATGACAGGAATGTTGCTAAGTCCCCAACCCCAGATGTATTTTAATAAAATGTAAATGTGGTGCTTACTGGACATTTTTCTGTGTCAGTACCTATTTCCAATAAAGAGAGATCAAAACCAAGACAGAGCAAAATGATCACATTTCCAACTTTGTTCATTGAGACTCAGAGAACCAATGAAGCTCAGAGACAAACATACCTCCTTTGTCCCCAGTGAGCAGGAAGGAGGCTGACAGCAGCCTGACGCAGTGCACCAGAGGAGCACAGTCTCTGTCAGTGTAGTGCCCAATGTCCCCCTTTACCCTGGAGGGCTATTGAAGGCAAATCACAATGTTTATACAGAGAAAAATTGCTCTTCAATTGCAAAGAAATATTAGCACAAGATTTAAAAATAGTGCACATCCTCAAATGTCTAAAGGTTTAATACAAAATGAATATATAATATTCATATGTCATTTAATATATATTCCAAAAAAGGCCTCAAAGTGCAATGCTTTGGAGAAGTTTCTATCCTGTATCAGAACTGGATCTATTTATCACAGAAATATTTTATTTTCTAAACTACCTAGACTTGCTGTTAGCATGTGAAGAGCCTGCTAAACCACTTGCTGCCATCAAACTTAGAAATAACATGCTTTTCATACAAAGTTTCCAAAGTTGTTTTCTGTAGTTTTACATTTAGAATTCCTCAACAGTCCAAGCTGATCTAATTCTGCCTGCCACAAATGAAGCTTTCATCCCAGCTCAGAACAAAGTCCAAAGATAAAGTCAGTAACTTGTAGTTGGAATGGCACCAAGCTCAAAGACTAACCTCTGAGGAGATAATGAAGTTACCTACACACATAGCAATCAGCACAAAGATATTTCAAGTAAGAAAGTATCTTTATAGCCTACTAATGCACAGACAAAAAGGGTTTGTGTTCTCAGCAGTACGTTCTGGCATGGCTTTGCTGGTGATTGCATTTAAGATGTCAACACTTATGTATTCACCTTATGTTAAACAAAACTCAGGCTGTAACTCAGATTCCCTACACAACCTAAGTTACTCTGACCTATGACAAGGTACATCACATACACGTGCTTCCCACATTTACCACTAGAATTAATTTCATCATAACTGTTATTTTACTTTTTTTTTTTAAACGTCACTGTTTTGAACTTTAAATCTGACCACTGCAAGTACTTCTCACCTTGTTCTCGTGATCACCAGCATCTGCTGCATCTTCTTTCGGTGTAAATCGATCCACGCTGCTGTCAGAGGGCTGCCTGCTATGGCTCATGGTTTTCAGCAGGTGAGACTGCTGAAGAGCTTTAGAAAAAGGCAATTCATGAAATATCATTTCAGATGCAAACTAAAAGCACTTTAATTAAACTTAATTATACAAACATGAAAATAATTTAGCAGTGATCAAAACAAGTGATTGATCACAAGTGTTGAAATATATTCCTTATTTCACATATCTGTCTAGTTGTTTGTTTTTCATATCCATTATGAGTCTTCACTCCCCTGAAGTGCAGATGCACCTGAACACTTGTCTAATGGTGTCAGTCTGGCCCACCCCTGTATTTATCAACATACCAAGGGAAGAATTTCTGAAGGACTCTGACGAATCATCTTGGAGAATATTTGCAGCTTCATCTTCCTCATCCTGCAGCTGCCCAATCTGCATTCCAGAATACTGTCCCTCAGCACCCTCCAAAACCTACACAGTGCAAGGACAGGACTTAAAATAATTTATCTTTACACAGAGTATTAAATTTGAAACATGCAGTGTTAGTAATTGACAAATTGTCTGAAAGCAAATATGAGCCTGATAAATATTAGTGTCCAGCTGCAGGTAAGCCCCAAAGCACTTCCCCTCCTCCTGCAGCTCTGGGGCTATGGAAGGCCATAGTTCCATCTGAGAGTCTCTCAGCTGAGCTATCAACTTGGCTACCAACAGGAACCAAGTAAAAAAGTGTGTTTCTCCCCTGCAGCTCCCCTTGCTCCCTCATCACAAATGTTTCTCTCTCAGCAGTTACAAATCACAACCAACACCTTTACTGCCACAAACTGAACTTGGCCCTTGCAGTTAAACTTTCCCATAACCTCACTTGTCCTGGATATGTGAAGTCAAACTGGGGGGAACACACTGTGTAGGACAAGAAAGGACGAATAAGTTTCAAGTATTTCAATTTCTTCATTCAAAACCAAGACTACTAAGATGGACTCATCTGGAAAAGAGTTTGACTCTTGGAACCAAGGTAGTAGATATATGGAAAAATAACCATAAAAATTAATCATAACAATCAATGACAGTAAAGTAAAAAAACCAATTTTGCTACTTTTATCAGAAAATAGGACCCTTTTTCAGTTATTTCCTTTCTTTATATGCACCTGGAAATTGTTCATTAAAAAGCCTGTGTGTCAGTAACTTGGACAGCCACTTAGTCTGTCAATTACAAAAGGATAATTTTACACATAGTTACTCCTTGTAAACAGTATGCCAACTGACAAGAATTTGCATAAACACATTGTGCCATTAAACACACCTTGTCAATAATTGCCTGCTCACTTTGGCCTCTGCACTGCCTGCATTTAATTCAGAGAGCAATTATCATCACTCCTTTGGTTCTTGAATTCTCACACTTACAGAAGTATTTTCTTAACATGATTATTAATTTACTGGTTTTTGTAATGCTAATAGCCTACTACTCTTCCAAACTACTATCAGAAAACTAGAGTCAAAAGTCTGATAATGTTTGAAAAAGCTCTTAAGAAATTCTACGTTTTCCCCCTTTTGAATTTTTTGCTCTGGCTCCCAATAAGTGTATTTTTGCTGTTTTTATTACAACCTTACAATACACTTGCCCAAGAGAGACAAATGCCTTAAAACAGATATACTGTATGCACATTTCAGGTGTTTATTAGATATGTAACTGCTACATTTGTAAATCATGCAATGTTTGCCCATTATAGGAGAAATCCTTAAGACGGAATAAAAAGGGAAAAAAAAAAGATGAGTTGTGCTACCAAGTGTAAAAGCACAGGCAGAAGGCAGTGTGAAGCATTGTGTTCCAAAAATATTCCTTCATCATTCCAAAAAAACTGCTCACCCTTTAACACTTCCATTAACCCTCCTGCACCAAAACAATTATTAATATATTTATACAAAATTAAGGATATGCTACTAAGAGGATTTATTTATGTCAAGACTCTGATATTGCCATTCTTTCAGAGAGAGAAATCTGTAATGCCTTCACATGACCTACCCAGAGAACACACTGATTACAGCTTTGTAGTTTTCCATTATTGCTGAAGTGAAAGTGTTAAAAGGAGGTCAAGCTCTCCAAGAGAGGTGTGAGCTGCTGACCTTTCCACTGTTACTAGCTGAGGATTGAAAAGTAGAAGACGAGTAAGGAGACGAATCCAAGTCTGGGCCCTCCATGGAAGAGCTCTGAGACATGTCGGGCCCCTCAGTAGAAGGAGATCCCCCCTCTGCCCGCTGCACACTTACAATTTCAGAACTGTCTGAAGGGGTTACAGCAGAGTCTGGACCTTCTGTAGTAGTCTGAGAGCTATCACTAATTGGCGAGGAAGCCTGCGTGCCATCATTCAAATCCATAGTGGCATCTGACTGGACAGCACTGATCTGGCTGGAGCTCCGACTGAGCACTTCGTCCTCCTCCCCTTCAGCAGCTGTGCTGGTCAGGTCACAGGCTGCCAGCTCCACGGAGTCTGACTGCAGCGTGTGCTGGGCACGGGGCTGCTCCGTGATGATGTCGTGTCCCGTGGCATCGGCCGCCGCGCTCCCCGCCGAGCCGGCTGTCGACACACCTGATGAAGAGGCCAGCTCGCTGGTTATCTCACCCTTCACAGAAGCTGCAAAACACAGGCATTCATGAGTCAGTCCAGTGCTTCAATTTGTGTTTCACTCTCAACATGAAAACACAGGCTAAACCATGTATTAAAGTAGGCTAAGGAAAGCCTGTAATGGAACAGTTAAACTGTAGGGAGGAAAACAGGCATCTTATAAAGATGCCACCCCTTCTCTACCAGTAACTCCCATTAGCAAAAGAATACAGTCAACTACATTAAGTTTTACACTCAGCAGTATTTATGGTTTCAGTTTTGTTTACCATGTCTTTTGAATGCCCATACACTTCCTCACCACCACAACACATCAGTTATACATTTTCCATAGAGCAATAACAGAATGTATTTGCTGACTGCACATATAAAGAGAAAGGCAGGTACCTGCAAATGATGCAGAGCTGACATCAGATCGGGTTTCAGAATCATCATCTAAGCCTTCTTCTTCACCAAGAAGTACTTTACCTAAGAAGTGAAGTAAGAAAAACCTTTACTTTTCAAAAATTATAGTCAGTTTGAAATGTTGAACAGCTCAAGTCAAATGTGAAACCTATTTTTTAAAAAGTTTATCCAGATAATTTTTCATAGCTATGACAGGTAACAGATGAAAGGAATGAATAAAGTTCACATCCAGTCCCTCACTAATTTATCAGGAAAGAAACAGGCAGCAGTGACAAGAAAACAGAGTTAAGCAATTTTATTTACCAGTGCAACCATTCAGGAAACTACCTACAGCCTTATTACTTCTGGTTTATTTTTGTGGACGACATTTAGGATCCTACTAATTTCACCAAGTATGTGCTATTCCTAAGGACTGGATATCTAGTATTCGGATGTCTGCCCTCAACTCTAAAGGGCATTAATGCACCACAAGTAATAGAATAAATAACCTCTTCCTCCTTAAGGATACAAAAAATATCAAAGGCTGCCCGGAACTCCAAATATAACAGTACAGAAAAAGCCCAGGGGGAAAAGCAGTGCAGACTTCAAGCACAAGACAACACAGGTGGGACAGGGTGCTGAACCATGGACAACCATGGAGAGCTAAGGATTACTAAGGCAAAAAATCCTCAGAGATGCTTTTTTTTTGCCCTAAGAAACTTGAGAACCACTTCTAACATAACCCAACCACCACAAAGTTCTCTTACTCACAGAGCATTATCTACTTAAATTACAGGCAGTGGAAAGAGAAAGATACCTGCAGATGCACACTGCCTGGAAGGCAACCAAGGACACATGCACTGCCAAGTCTGTCCATGGGATAGCACAAGGAATGCAGAGGGAGCTGCTAAGCCCATCCTTCTACATGTTGCAAGTCCCTTGCTGAGACAGAGGGATTCACAGTAAGTGCTGTGAGAAGGACCATTTTGCTTAGACTACCAAGCTGCACTGGTACTCTAAGGAAACTAATGTTTGGAAAACCCTGGGTGAATAGATTTGTACCTTATTCAAGTTAAATGAGGGTAAAAAAAGCATTAATACACTTTTGTATTAATTTTTTTTCTTCACTGCTTTCATACATAGCAGTACCAGAGTAGAATTACCTTCCTCTGAAAAGCATGATTTATGATACCCAAAACTGTAAGTAAGGCAGAAAAGTAAACATGGCATTTCTATATACCTTCTATGTAAAATGACAATAATTGAGAACTACACACTCCTATGAACAAATGAGTAAAATCCTACTAGGAGTTCCCAAATAAAAAGCACAAAATAGAATATATTCTTCTCTATTATTTTTTCACATTTATATCCATTTCACTGAAACAAACCAAGATGAGCTTCTGTTTTCTGCTGCCCACCTCTAAAAGTAAGTGAAAGAATAAGAACACTGAAAAACAGTCATTAGGCACATCAGATTTTATATGCTTAAATGTACTAAATGAGTATATAACACACGCAGCAGGATACTTTTCTTCTATTTGACAAGAAAAAAATCCAGTTAAGTTGTTTTCAAAACATAGGCTTTGATTTCAAAAGGAATTTTCAGCCTTTTTAGCAAATAATCTTCTGAAGTTGAAACAGAAATGAATCAATGCAGGCCAGCTGCTCAGAACTGAAGCTGATCTGATGCAGCAAGACTGCAAAGATGTGAAACAGAGAATTCTGTAGATCAGCCTCACTTTACACCCCTGCACACAAAGGAGCATCACAGCTTGAGAAGTCCCATCCATTGCCCACTACTCTGTGTGACTGCAAAATGACTGCAAGGAGGAAGTGGGAATAGGCTCAGATTTTTCCTCCTTTCTAACACAGAGAGCAACAGCAAATGAACAATTCACAATTTGAAAATAAACCTGTACAAAGCACAAAACTGTGAAGGGATTTCTTCAAATTGTTTATGCCATTGTTTAGACCACAAAATCTTCATACCATAATCTTGCAAAAGGATGAAAGCTGATGACTCATACATGTTCTGTCATCAAGTTAAAGATTAGTATTTTAACAAGTACTTTAATTGAATTTACACTATTATTAATACTTCAAAGTTACACTGAAGACTACCAACAAGAGAAAGATGTGCCCACATTTCTCTTCACAGAGAAAAGCAAGGCACAACTTCCCAAGGATATTTTCTGGGAATCGCAGCAAGGAACTTCACAAAAAGAAGAAACAATTCTTATCTCATTTGCTGTGCCTGTGTTTGTGCAAAAGTAGAATGAAATATAGAAATTGTTTACCAAAAGTGATGGTGTTTTGCTTCCTTGGCCTATCAGGGCCAAGTGTGTCTCCAGACTGTGGGTCAGGAGACAATCACAAGATTCTGCTTAGTGGAGTAGAGTGCTTGTGCAGATTCAGTGTAATATAGTACAGAATAATATAGTATAAAAAAGTAATTAATTAGCCTTCTGATATCAATGGGTCAAATGCATTATTTCTCCCTGCCACAGGGGTCACTTTGAATCCTATACAAAAATCCTAAATGAGGATTTACTATTTTTTATTTCCATGTGAAATGCGTCGTTATTCCCTGCCACAGGGGTCACTTTGAATCCTATACAAAAATCCTAAATGAGGATTTACTATCTTTTATTTCCATGTGATGTGCGTCGTTATTCTGATTTGTTGCATTCTGTCTCACCTTTGGATGCTGCAGCAATATCTACTGTCAGACATCCATTCTTGCAATATGGCCTTTCTAAACTAGAAATGGTAACTGTATGTGTAAGCACTATTTCATTCAGCTTTAACCACTACTTTACATTTTGGTATACTCTTAAAGCATACAGATAAGGTTATTTAAAAAAGCTCAAATAACCTTATCTGTATGCTTTAAGAGTATACCAAAATGTAAAGTAGTGGTTAAATAGTGGTTATTGAGATTCCTTGCACATGAAGATTGAAGGACATATTGGAAAAAGTATAAGCTGTAATGGTGCTTCAAGTTTATATAATCTCACCTTGTTTCAAACTACTTTTCCTTGAAGTTTTGCTCTTCAGCATTGCACATCTCTTGCTTACTAATACTTGCAGTGACTACAGTACACTCACAAAATTCACTGCAACATTTTGCTCACCTAATGCAGGTGATGAAAGTGTCACACAGCTGTACCTAGATTGATTCTGTCATAGTGATATGACTGGTTTAAATCAAAGTGCAAACATACAACTAAATATTAAGTACTTCCATGCACAAACTGGGAAAAGAATACTTCAGAGCTAACTGTACTCTTTAAAATTCTGTTAAATGAACTAAATACTGAAGAAAGAAAATCTATACAGGCAAGACAAAAATGTATAATCATCAAGAACAGAAAAAGAAATAAAAAACCATCATATTGAAGCATGCAAACATACACATGCATTAGTGAAATGCAGAGAAAAAACCAGGCCTAACAAAACCAGGGAGGTTAACTATTTAGTAAGTTACATTAATGGTTAAGTATTACCATGAAAAAGAATGCCCTGTTCAGAGAGATTATTTTCCCATGTGCTCTTAAGAAGTTAAAACTGCATCATAATCATCAACATAACTTTGACGGTGAACTACAGTAAAAATAAAATTATATTGCTTTAAATTATTTTAGAATGTCTTGATTGCAATACCAGAAATTGCATCTGAATTTCTTCACTATTTATAATGATGAAGTTCAGCTGATAACACAGGCAATTGTGAATGAAGACCCAAGTTCAGCAAGACAATGAAGTGGGGAGGGGGAAAAAAACAACCCCAAAAAAATCAGGAAGGAATGCAATTAAAGATTGGTTTTCAAAAATAATCACCTTTATGCTTTCTTGCAAGAACAGGGCTGCATGAAGACCCCCCTCCAGCTGCAAATCACAGAAAGTAACACATCAGGGCAAAGACAGAGCTAATGAAATCATGAAGGAATTCTAATAGCCACAAATGGGAAACAACCAAAAAAAAGAAAACAAAACCCAACAAAACAAAAACCCAATGAAACAAAAAACCCACAAAAACAAAACAAAAACCAAAGCCAGGAAGAAATAGCAAACTTGTTGCTTTTGAAGTCCAAGGTTTTTTAATCATTCGACACTTCATATTCTGTGCCACTTGTGTGTAGTTTGCTTTCAAAAATGTGTTCTAAATTTCCCTGCTATGATTGCTTCCAGCTAATAATTTACCTTCCAGAAGCAGCAATATTGGCTGACCCATTAGTTCAACACAGACTCCTTACAAAAATCTAATCAGAGACTGATTCTTTTGAAACAGGAATGTAGCAGTTAAAGAGAATTTCAAGAACATGCACTCCACAGACAAGAAAGCTGATAGCTGATTTTAACAGTTAAGGATAAGCTTAAGTCATGCTTTAATTTCATGCTGGTTTTGGTATTCAGCAAGGAGCTCTCAGTTAATACAAACTCTGATTAGATCTGCTTTTATGAATCACAGTTGTCAGATGATTGGTAAGAACATTCATTTTGTGGGGTAAAAAATAGTCAGCATATTCAACTTGCTTTGTGTAACAAAAAATAATGATCAACACAAACTGTAAAAAAACCCCTCTGAAGTTTGTCATTAATCAATGAATGTATACCCACTTAAAAGAAGGAGGGAAAGAACTTCTACTGTACCTGGGAAAAAAGAATGCCATGCATAGCTTCACACCTTTCACTTAACCTTCATGCTTTTGCTAACACTGAGAACTAGATCTGATGATGTATGTTCATTTCCTTTTACTCCAACTACCAAGAGCAGAGCTTACCTATAAGTTCCACGATGCTCCCACTGCGGCTCCTGCTGGCAGGATCATCTTTGGACACACTGACCTGAGCAATGCCCCCGCAGGCGGTCAGGGCATGGAGCAGTTCAGGGGGGGGAGTTCTGAAGAGCTGCTGGAGCAACTCTAAAGCTCCAGTCACAACATTGTGGTCCTGATGCTGGGTATAGTGCAGAGTCAGTTCATAAACCTGAAAGCCAGCAGAGTACTGGAATAAGTCTCTATGAAGACAGAACATATGATGTGTCTTATACGATACAACATCAAATTTCAGCAGTGAATTAAGAATAACTGATGCCTGGTATATATGATCTTCACCACAATCTTCCAAGGGGGAAATGTCAATCAATTGCAGCCACTTAACTGCCTTTTTGGCAGAAGTCTGGTCATTACTTATCAATAATTCCATTCACTGGACCAACTATCATTTATCAAGATAAACAGGAATTTGAAAATTCAGAGTGTTCAGTATCAGACTAATTGCTGGATCACTATTTATTTATTTCCCTCCCAATTAGTACTCTTCAGATAAGGGGTATTATTCATATTTTACCTGTATAAGTTGTTCTGGTGAAGGTGAAATCTCTGTTTCTTTCCTTGTTACACCAAAACTGCCTTTCAGGCTGGTATCTTTTACTTGTTGTTGCAATAAAGGTATGAGATACCTTAGTGTAAGTAAAACACCCAGAATTAAAAGAGTAGGACGATCATCTTCTACAGGAACCAACAAGCCTGAGGGGAGAAACAAAGTGACCAAATAACTTACTGACAGTGGTTAGTTTCAACACAAATGTTATTATAGCTTCTTTAAATAAAAAAAACCACAACAAAACAGAGCAACCAAAACCAAGAGTGTTTTCCAAATGTAGAAACATCTGAAAATATGTACTTTATACTACTGACAATCAATTAAGCAGCATGGGAGAATGATCAGAGGACCCTGTCTCACCTTCCCTGTTTCCTCTTTTTACTCCATTAAAACGCAATTTATTTTTTTTAATAGCTGATGCCTTCATCAAATGATCTAGACTCTCTTGCTTCTCTCACTTGCCTCCTCCCTCCACCTGACAGCTTACACCCAAGTGCAATTCCCTTGCTCACAAATGCACTATTATCCAAATGGAAGATATTTGTACTTTGCCCTGTTTTGGGAACTTTCTTCCATATACCTACCTGCTAATCACAACCAACCCCAAAGCATACTACAAACTAATATAAACTATGGAAGAAAACACAACCTTCTATCCAGGGAGGAGAAAAAAATACAGAACCAATTCTCAGAGTTCCCATTCATGTTTCTGTTTGAATTCTGCATCACTGACAAAGAAATTATCAGGCAGGACTTTAAAGGGAGGAAAGTCACAATGTAGCATTTGAATTTTTCACACTTCCTGAAAGTAGCAAGGCTAACATGGTAACACCTTATGTATCTGCTGGTCTTCCTTATATCTCCTTGTGCAAGACAGTCTACACAGTAAAGAACCCCTTGTCAATGACAAAACTGAAGCAAGTTTCCACTGAAAGCCAGAAATGCCTCTGGCCATGACTTGCAAAACAACCTGAACACCATGCAAACTTCCCAGCTGAAGAAATAAAGAAGCAATACCTGATACAAAGTTGTGCACTTTAAATAAAAAAAAAAAATCCTCAATTTCTGTAGTTATAACAGTATCTATGTGGTGGTCCTTCTAAGAAAGGTCACAGGGCATGTGATCATGGCCCAGAGCACAGCAGAGTACTCTCCACCTCAGACCTGCTGCACTAACAACCAAGCTGATGCACCATGCAAGTCTTCAGACTCCTGATGCTGTGCAAGTTCACCCAGAATCCTGAGACCTCATTTTCCAGCAAGCTACTTGCTTCTCAAGCTTCAGCTATTTCTTTTCAATATTACTTACTAGCACAGCAGCAAAGAGAGAGAGACAAACAGCTTTAGAAGTATCTTCCTCTAACTTAACACCAGAGAGAAAGTATCAGCCGTGTAACTGGTAGTCAAAGTATTCTTCCTTTACCTGAAAATCTTTCACATACGTAAAATGTGAAAATTTCCATGTGAAACATGGAAAAATATGTAATGTTACTTACACATAAAGCAAATTAATTTTTTTGCCCTGAATCTTACCTAAAAGCACATTCAGTAACCAGGCATAGAAATACTGTGTTCTTCGTGAATGTTGACAGATGCTCACTGCTGATCCTGCTGCTGTTCGACGGATCGTGGGGGAACTGGATTTAAGATTAGCTATGAAAGCCTTCAACAAAACCTGAAAGCAAAGACAACTTACTTAATTAAGAAGACAGCAAATGTATATTTAATTTATTCAAAGCATTACTTCATGCACATCAAGCAAAGGCAACTACTGCCTTGAGATATGCAGCTGTAACACTGCTTTCTGTGCCACGGGACTGGTAATGCTGATAACTCATCATGCTAGGGATAGAACAGGGAACACTAATAGGGTAAAGAAAGGTACCTTAATCTCATTGTCATTTGCAAAATTGCCAAAGGCTGCCATGATTTTGGGTATTGCTGCAGCCAGCGTCTCCTGTACGGATTCCTCAGGTCTCTTACTTATCCGTGTCAGACAGGGCAAAAGGTTCACCAGGTATGGCCTAAGTATGGCACAGGAGAGAAACTGACTTGAGATCACAACAACTGAACCCTTCGAAGTATTTTTAATCCATACTCTAGTTCTGTGGTATTACTAAATCATACAAAAATGTACCTGATAGCTACACAGAACATAGGAAAATATAAAGAATCTTCTGAAGGCAAGAGAAGAATACACTTAAAAAATACAAGTCATTATCTTTACAAGTTCCCCCCCCCACAGTAATGTATAGCATAGAACTAAAACTCCATTAAAAAACACACTGATGAAAGAAATTCAGAGAGAATAAGGTGATAGCAATTCCTCCAACCTCCTAATTACATACTTAAAACTTCCAAACAGTAACATTCTGTTAACATCTTTAAAGGTTCTTTGGAAAGCTCATTATTAGAATGTGTTTACCTGCACTTCTGAGGCCGAACTAGATGGGCAAGCTCAGCAAATCTCCAGAGTGCAGCACGCAGACTTCTTGAAGCACCATTCTAGACAGAGTATACAACTATCACATTTCATCATGCAAAACCATTTCCTACAAAGAACTGCCTATAACATACAATAGTGTATATTTTACTTAAACAGATAAAAATATAAAGTGCCTGGAAATCATAAATTTCCTATAGCCAAAAGGAAGTCAAGTCAGCTCCATAACTACCTTCATTTTTCTAGATGGTATTAGGAGTTTTCTGAGTAAGCTAAAATGAATAATAAGGAACACCACAAAAGAAAAGGAAGTGTCTGAGATCTCTGCTCTGCTGAAATCTGCTTAAAATACCACAGAGAAAGACATCAGCCAACAAAGAAACACTGATGATATGAGTCTGAAAATCACTGGAACACTTGCAGAGATATAAATACAGCACAAAATTGACAGCAGAGAAGATATGCAAATAAACAACATTCAGCTTCTGAGTGCACCAAAAGAAAAATCAACATATTGATCTGTAGCATTTCATAATGGATTGGCAGCTGAAGTTTAGTATCTATCTGCCTGGACTGACACCTTCCATTGTGCACCTGACTTGAACCAGAATGCCCTTGCATTAGTGTCTAGGGATGGGGTACAATTCCTTAATGTTTTTGGAAATACAGAAAACTGGAAGTCAAGATGCCTAGGTGGGTGTCTACCTAATATAGCTCAAACCCAACCAAAATGCTTCTCAAATTGAGTCCCCTGAAGACAAAGCTGAGATGTTTAAAAACTGTCATTTCTTTATTACTTTCTTCAGCTGGTACATCAAAGGCTTGTGGCCTTGTTAGCATGTCAAGTAAAAAATACTTGCATTTGAATTACAAAACATGCATTTCTCAGGTTCACAGCCAAACAACATATTCTGGCATGGCTTCTGAAGTGATCCTGATGCACAAATAAAATTCAGTCTGCTGAGTGCTCCTGTTGCACATGCTACCTCTCTGTCACCTGCCATGGATCCAAGTGCACCTTTCAAGAAGCACACGCCAACTGAACGACAAAATATTTCCTCCTACACCTGGTTATAAATGTGTAGGAACTTTGGAGCAATTTGTATGTTGGCTGTTTTCTGTTAATTAGGTAATGCCCATTTCCACACCCTCAAAAATATTGCATGACATAAAGGTACAGCAATATAGTAAGATATCCATACATCAACATCCTTACATCTAACAGAAGAAAAGCTATGCACATTGGTTTTGTGACTTATCTTCTAGAGCTCTATTATTCCCTTCAAAAACAAACAAAAAAACCACCCCAGTATCATTACTGTCTGACAAGTAACACCTCTATTTTCTCTCTATACAAGCCTGACCACGTTTATAGATGCAATAGACATAATTTCAGTGATACTGTCCTAAACATGGCACTTCTCTTCTGCAGTCACAAACTTCAAAAAGGTTATTACTAAAGTTCTTCCTGCAGACATAATTAAATTGTAGCTTTTGATACCTATAGAGAGATGCTTCAGTACTTTTCCCTATGCCTCTGTAAGAAGCTGTAAGTACATATCATACATTCATAAAGTAGTTGTATCAGGTTACTTGAAGCCTTAATTCTCCATGAGGTTGTGTCAATTAAGAATGCCATTGTCCTCCATCTTCTTTCCATCACCCTTTTGGTTTGAGTTATTCTCTCCAGCTTAGTCAGTGGAGCAAACATCATGAATTATTCCTTTGGGTGGGGAGGCACTAAGGTTAACTCAAAATGCTGTTCAAACCAAATGCTCACATATTTTCTGCCAGATAAGCTTTCAGGAGTGGTTAAATCCAAACAATGGGGGCAGCAGTGAGGAGTTCAGTAGAATAGTACTTTAAAACATTCATAATTCCTTCTAAAAATGAAGATTTGACCTTGATCTTAAAAGACAAACTTACTAATTTACATTAATGCTACATTTCAATATACTAGAATACATACTAAATACCACATTTCAGAAGAACATGAAAGAAAAATCACTCACCTTTTTAATCTCTTTATACAGTTCTAACTGCAACCTGGGAAGATTGGAATCCATCAAAGCCTGCAATAAAATGCATTGAGAACACACTCTATCAGAGGGGAGGTGCTTTACAGGAAAAATGTTACACTTGCAGTAAAACAGCTTCAAACAAGGCACTGAACTATCTAATGGTCCTATATTTGATGTATAGCTAAGGAAGTGATAAATAAGTGAGAAGAGACACCTTTATCCTTCACACAAATGCAGGCAAACTCCACAAACTCTGACAGTTATTTGCACTAAATGTTGACTGTTTTACCAACTCTACCTGCAAAAGGCCATATGGGATCAGCCTCCAAGCAGAGCCGACCTCTTGTGCTCTCTGGCAATCACCAGAACAGCCACTCATGAACAGAACATTAAAACACAAGAACAGCATTCACAAGCAGCAAAAAGGCACTCCCTGCTATAATCCACCACTGTCAAGCAGGCTCCTACTATTTCTCAAACTGAAGCTGTATTTGTACCATTACCTTTAACAGCCCCTGAAAACTCTTTGTTTCATTAATTAGCCTATTTTCTGCATCCAGTTAGTACACACACAAGGACATCCCAGGATCCAATCAAGCATACAGCAACAGAGTTCAAACCTGCAGCCTGGCTAAAACCCAGCATACATGAACTGAAAGCGAGCACAGAGAAGCAGTAATTTTCTGTTCACCCCAACCTGATCATTCTCTACCTTCAAAGTATCAGACAGTAAGATATGAAAATATAATCTCTTCATAAAGAAGAATTTGTATATATATGGTTACCCTTCCTCCTCCACTTTTTTCCCTAGTGTGTACTACAATTTATTAATAAATCTCTATTAATAAATTAATAGCTCTTCCTCTGATGAGATGAGATCCTCATGCAATCTCAAAGTACCTACGTTGTGAATTCATACAGTGCTATATTGTGGAGTATTGAATTTTTTATTCCTTGTCCAGTAATTTCTTAATTTCTAATTTTCTAACTGCCTTCCTGGATTAAACTCACATCTTCACAGGATTATTCATCGTGAGTACAAAATCTGATAGCACCCACTGAGCTAGAAGCCACAACTGCTCCAGCACAGCGAGTGGAATGCCTGTGGCTCCTCCAGAGCATGATCTCCCCAGCCTAAAATTGTATGCTCCAAAACTCCATTCACCCCAGTTACACCTGTTACAGTCCAATGGCATTGCCTTCCCCAGAAAAACCTCACCCGGGCTGTATCTTTATATTAACATAAGCACCCCAACTACAGACTGAAGGTGCCAGATGACAGCAGTAGGATTTACTTCACAAAACTTCGTTTTTATGAGAAGCTCACTGCACCTATCTATATATATATATATATATATATATATATGTATGTGTATATGAGGATATCAAGCAACACAAAAAGGCCCCAGCTATTATTTGGCTTTGAGGTTAAGTTGTCCTTACAACACACCCAACTACAGGAACTCTTTTGGTTAGTGTACAGCTATATTTTTAGCAGGCTAGAATGTATAATGTCATCTTTGGGGAAAAAAGCATACTCAGCTCTAAACTGCTACAATAATAAATTCCAATTAGTGAGGCCAATTGTACTGCAATCTGTGTGAACAGTTATTTATATCATTAGCACCAGTATCATTAGCACAGAGAATACTACAACATCATGCATCAGCTTTAGAGACAAGACAGCTTGACCTCACCCACAGAAACCTGCAAAGTCCCAACTTGGTGTTTTTTCTTTTAAAGGTATCACCACAGTTATTTAACTTTTGAGCCATTTATGCTGTCTTTGAGGTTCTGACAGGCAGTTGTAGTGTTACTTGAAGATGACTTATAGAGTGTTTATCTAAAGTTATGTGCTCAGCCTCATCTGCAGAGAAGAGTTAATTTTCTAGTTACAGTAATGAGCATAAACTCCAGACAGACACATAGTTACACAAGTAGTGCTTACATCTATAGTCTTTTATTTCAAGAGAAGCTACAAAGCATCTTTTGCTAACTAGCAAAAGAATCAGCCTCTAAAAATGCCTGAGATTCTAAAAAATGGTTGAACTTTAACTAAAATGCAATCTTAGGGGCCCAACACCTCTGTTCTACTTACCACAAGCATCACTGACACTTGCACAACCAAAAATAAAACTGGACATCTTTTTATTTCTGCATCTATACCCAAGTGTCTGCCCAAGTTGCTAAATCACTTCCACACAACATAAAGCACAGAAAGAGAATACAAAGTACAACCAGCTTCCATAACAGCCTGATACATCCATGTGTGTGGAATATCACAACTGTTACCACTTCAGAGCTGAGCCCAACTGCCAAGCTTAATGACTGACAGAAGATGCCATCATTTAAAACCACTTTAATCTTGAAAACAAAACAAACTACCATACAAACATTTGGGGAAAAAAAATATGTTTTCAAGTTACCCTGAAGCATGCCAGAAAGCAACAATATTAAACAGATTAGAGAATTTATGAGGTACATTTTATACCAAGCCTACCTAAGTGTTTCATGGAAAGTAGGAAATAAGCTTTTATTCTTTAGGACTGTTTCAGGGCAGCTTTTAAAGCAAATTGAGTTAAATAATAATGTATGCATCTCACAGAGTGCTCTCCCTCCAACAGAAAAACATTCAAATCAAAGTGAAAAGAGCAAAGTGCTATTGGGCCAAACAAAAAAGCAAGGAACTCACACTTCCTTATTCCCTATCATTATGGAACACACTACACAATCTGTAAGCTTCTCCATACAACTTTCAGCCACAAACTCAATCCCCAACACTTAATTAATTCAGATATGAATGTTTAGCTTTCTTGCTTCTATACACCCTTTCACATAAAAGAAAATTATTATTTGCATATTTCTAAAGCACTTAAACTTTGCATCAACTAGATTATTTATGAGGTACATAACAGTGTCTTAAAGTTCAAGTATTCCATAAAAAAAACAAACCCAAAAAAAGGGAAGTGAACACAAGCCCCTTTTTGAAGCAGCAGCTCCTACAAATTACTCATAAGGTTCATTTTAAGATACTTTGAATCAAGATTTAGACCTTGCATGACCTCCTATGAATGCCCATCTGCTGTTCTCCAACAAGCTCTTCATTCTGGATCACAGCAGGGGAACAAACAATCTCCAGAATAATATATTTATTCTACTTACTGCCTGAAATCTCCTCCTCCAAGTCTCAGCAAACCACACTACCTTTCAATCAGCTTTTAAATAATATTTTTACCTTTCCTCATGCTAAGTGTCTTTATGTTTACAGAACAATAATAGAGTATTCCTCCCACACAAGATGATTTCAGAAAAGCCCACATTCCTGTTTTGGTTAACTTGAAGAGAACAAAGTTAATGAACAATTGAAGACAGGAATAGATCAGAACAATGTATTACATAAGACAAGTTAAAGTTAAATATGTTGATCTGGGCATAAAAACCTCTCCTAAGAGAGAGAGAACACATTCTGCACGTACAGAATTTAGTACAGAAGCTTGCTTACATGATGAGATATTATCAACAGTAAGAAAGGCAACTAAAAGAACATCAGTGGGAATTCAGACAGGACACTGCATCAAGAATAGACAAAATGTGATAGCAAAAGCTCTTACTTTAATAACTTTATTAAGGCATTCATCTGCAACCATCCGGACATCAGATTCTGCATCCTCACTGCAGAGGAGAAAGAGTTCCATAGCAATGCCCAGCAGCTTCTGAAATTCTGGGGAATTCCTAATAAACAACATTAGAAAATTACAATGTGCACCATGAAAATGAACACCAATGATGTTTTTGAAAGGGTTTTATAATCCAACTACATATATACTATACACATATGCACAAGGAGAAGACATTCAGTGTACTAAAGCACTTCATTAGGAGTTGGGAGATCATTTCCCAACTCTTTCCTCCATGATCTGGTAAGATATTTGACCTCTTTTTTTGCCTAAATTTTTCTGTCTGCAATAGAATGGAAGTGCCCACTCCATCAATAGGTAAACAAAAGTCCTTCTTAAATTTTGAGTTAGTTAAAAAAAAACCCTCACCATTTCAGTTTTAAAGAGAAACTCAGCAATTATAAGGAATCCTCCCAACAACTAACATTCTGAAGTTGTTATTCATCCTAATGAATTAAAGACATCCATAAATAATCAATAAATTAAAGACATTGCCTTACCTTAGTGACTGAGCAACTATGTTTTCACATATTGTTAGACAATGATTCACCCGATCTTTCTTGGTAGCTGCAAGTTCTTTCTTTCTAAAGGAAGAACATGATGACAATGAGTGTGAGACAAGAGTTCAAAAGTGACCATTCAAACACTTGCTGAAGTAGTGTCTAATCATTACTCAAGAAGATGCATTTGCACTCTCTGGTCACTCCATGAACAGCTGTACAACAACTACCTGCAGACCCAGGATTTATCTGCAGCTGCTGCTGAGAGCACATGGGCACACAAGCAAAGGAGAAATATAAGTTTAGGAAAAGAATGAAGGACTAATAATTTAATAGGGAATATCACATTAACTCCATAACTTTCACTGAGAAAATGCTTAGGAATGAAAACTGAAGAATGAAGAAGAGTAAAGGGAAAGTATAAAAAAATGAGGTAGTCCTAGAACAAAGCAAAAATAAAGTGATAGAAAGAAGAAGATTGGAGAAAATAAGCCATGAGAACAAAAAATAGCTCTTTTAAAAAGACCCTCCTCCTACATAGCATCACCTGATTTGTCTGATTTTTTTGTCTGCCAATGTCTTGAAACTTCGAGTTGTATTAAATGGACAATTTGCATCTGAACTGCAAAGCATGACAAAGCAATGCCATCATACACTACATTCCTCCAAAGGTAATCACAAAACCAGCAAAGGCCAAGGCAGTCTGACCACTGAGAATAACATCCCTATAGGAACACTTGGTATAGCCCAGGAAAGGCCAAGCTGAGTGCACAACAAAGAGAACAAAATGCACAGAAACAAAGAATGTGTATCTACAAACAACAGAGAGCACAAGATGAAAAGCTTCTCCTTTGCAGAATGTATTTAACATTCACTTCAACATGACACAAGCTCTTGGAACAGCAGCTCTTCCCTGCTCCACCCCCAAGAGAGGAACTGAAAAAAGACAGCGAGACAGACTCCCAACTCTGACTGGGAAATTTTATTCAAGTCTGCAGTCTCTCCTACTCCTAACTTCACTGACACAGAATCACTTCTAGGAAAGCAGATGTTACTTTTAAATAATTAAGCAGTAGCAATACTGGAGCAAAACCACCCACCCAAAGGTATCTCTCCTGAGTGTTTCACAATAAAGAATTACCAGCTTCTTCACTCATATTCACAGAGAATCTTCCCTTTTGTTTTCCAAGTGAAAACTGATAATTTTTAGTATTTCATTCTCTCAGTAAAAAATAGCAAAAATCACGAAATAGCAAAACAGTGTTTCTGAACTAGAAGCTGGAAAACAATGTGAACAGCCTTGAATTACATGAATAGCAGTAACACAACATCAAGGGCCAACAGCAAGTAGCCAATAAGCACATTAAATTCTGCTAACTCAAAATACAGTGTTAGACAAGTGTTTTTAAAGAACTACACTGCATTATTTAGGAACTACAGCTCAAATAATAGTAGAAGTTTTGAAAAAAAGTCATTAGTATCCCAGTCATCCCAGTATCCCTGTCCCTTTTCTTCTCTCAGGCTGGAAGAGAGGGGTTCAAAAGTCTCTGTTCCCAAGATTTCAATTTTTCTCACAAAGAAAACCTCATCTCATCCCAGAAATACCTTCTACTTTTATAAGTTTAAAGAATAGCTCTGAACAAAGCTATTTTTGTGGTTTAGTTTGGCAACATTTTATTTAGGCAAGCTAAACAGCCAAGAGGATCTCTTCTTGGACTTAAGACACTGGCAGAATATGAGCAGACAACCTGAATTTGCTCAAGATACACAATGTCTTTCTTTCTCTCCATCTTGAAAGAGTGTCAGAGTCTTTAGCAGCATTTCAGATCATCTCTTAACAAAAAAACAAATACTGTCCAAGATGTCCAACTGATTTTGCAACACCAGCACCACTGATGTGAGCAGGCACCTCAGAAAACGATTAAATCATTTCAACTTTCGTGCTAATTTTACCCAGCAGCCCCAAGCTCTTATGAGCACCATTTTCAGCATATATTCAACCCAAAAATAGATCAGGCACATTGAACTTGCCCATAAGCTCACTATTTCAGATACAGACATATTGAAAATACTGCTGACAAAGGTTACTTCCAGAATAAAGTTCTCTATTATCTACACATAACACAGCCCTGAGCAAGGCAGGCAGTGGTGTTCAATACTGCTCAGACCAGCAGAGATCAATCTCTTGGGCAAATATCTGTAAACAGAGAGCACCACTAACACATAATCTACACCTTGCTGAAATAAGTAACTTCAAAATTTAAAAAGGCTTGGCTAGACAAAATATAACTTCAAAAAAAATTAAAGAAAAGAAAGATGCAAGGAAAACACTTAATGTATATTATGTACATGCACATATTTTCTGTGCCTACAGAGGGAGAAGGGTAACAGAACAGTATCTAGAGAGAAAACACATGATTTTTTTTAGCTCAAAAAAACAAACAAAGCTCTATTGAGAAGTATCATGAAGTCCACAGGCAAACTGCTGATGAGCATACCCGGGGGGCAACAACAGCATCACACATTTGATGAATCAATCACACACATCTGATGAGTAACAGAAGGCAGAAGATATGGAAGCAGCAGTTATCAACAGGAAAGCTCCATCTCACTTACAGAGGAGTTTAACCTCCTGTGTACTTCTACACACCAGGAAGATTAACAAACAATGTAACAAAAGCAGCAAGCCCAGGTAATTTTGCCCTCTGAGTCCAGATGAGCTGACTACAAGGAGCTGCAGCTCACCAATGCTTATTTTTATTAGACCTTGAAATTAAGAATATGTGAAGAGTACAGAATATGTAAAGCTGAGCCAGTGATAAGAAAAAAGGGCCAAACCAAATGGCTTGACATTAATCTTGAGAAAAATAACAGAAACCAAAACCTGTTCTTTTAATAACAAACAGAAACATGAGTGGATCAAGAAATCAACTCAGTCCAAACACAGGAGACACTGGAAACAAGGTGCAGTAATGCAGGCAGTGATGGATTGTCACATTAACCAGAACTGGTCTACTACACACCCTAGACAGAGTAATGCCAAAAAACCATCAAGAAACCACTTCTGACAAGCAGGGCAATAGGTAATACCCATACAATTTGTGTGATCTTCAGTAAAACAAAAAATTAATGCTAGGCCTCCATACAGCACTGATCAAACCAATCCACGACCACAGCTTCAGTCAAACATGAAAGACACAGAAAAATTTAGGAGTATAGGAAAAAAGCATATTGCTTGGGCTTTTACAGTACCTTTTGCTGTAAAGTTAATGGTTAGATTCAAATGTAAAAAACCCTGAAAACAATTACAATAAGTGACTCTTAGAATAAATTGACAAGAGAAGATGTAAAGAATCCACCTTTGCATTCACAAATCAAACTCTAAATTTTTACACTATACTAGTAAGCTTTTAAGTTAGTGGGACCTTTGTGATCCAAAACAAAACATCCAATTTGTAATAAAATGTCAGAGTCTGAAAAAGCTGAAAAATTATAAGGAAGAAAATTAGTTGCCTAAGCAGAAGTGTATAGAAGCAATATGAAAGAGAACCCAAGTTAAGTCTACATAGAAGGGAAAAAAGCCCCAACAAGAGATAAGAAAGGGGACCAGAGACTGACATCTGACTGTAAGGCATAATGGGAGCATAACACATGATTATTGCTGATTAAAATCTCTTGAAACAGAAGAAGGTCTTATCTTCTTGGTAAAACCTTAGATTTGATTAAGATTTTAATAAAAAAAAGAGAAGATATCAGTATCATCAAAAGTTCTGGAGTCATTGTCTCACAGTAAAGTGAAGAAATATATAGACACCTGCTGGGTAAACAATTAATTCTTCTCTACCCCAATCCCTCTGATCTTAAAACATTTCATAGGAGGAGACAGTCCTCAGTATTACTACACAGAACTACAAGAGATTTATGTGTTATTTACAGAGAACCACAACAAACAATAATGCTTCTCCCCAAACACAATTTTCCTTTCCAGTCTACTACAAACAAGAAAAATTAAATGCAGATAGTATTGTGAATTACATTCAATATGTCACCTGCTATTTCACTAAAAGTCTGGAAAGCCTCAGCAAAGGCTGCCACAATAGCTTTTCAGTGGCTTTTATGAGGCTCAGTGCTGTCACTGAATTTGTCCAGATCCTGGGGGCATACAATCCCATCAGCTTTTGAAAACAGCCTATTTTTAAACACAAAGCAAAGTCAACAAGGACAACTCCAACACTAATTTTTTAATGTTTTCAGTAGAACATGCCTAAATTTAGACCACCAAACCAAGCATAATATCACAAGCATCACAAATAATTCTAAGGATTTTCTCTTGCAATACCATGACCTCTCTCACCAGTAACTTTCAAGACAGAGATCTGAACAGCACACAGGAAAGACTGGAAATAGATGTTCATCCATGTCACACAAAGTACTGGCATAAAAAAAATACGTACAAAACAGAGCAATTAGTCCCTGCAGACCAGTAAGGCACCTAAGAACAACTAGATCATGAAGAAGATGAGTTTTCTCACCTATTAAGCATCAGAAGTGTAGAAATGCATTGTGATTGTTTGAGACAACACTCACTCTCCAGAGAGAAACAGCACCAACCGTGATAATTCAGCTGGCAACCGTAGCAGAAAGTGCAGAGGGAGCAGGTGGCCAAGAGCCCCGAGCCACTGCTCTGCTTCCTCTGCCAGCACCACAGCAAACTGCCAAGCCAGAAGTTACCTGCTCCTCAGCCCTTCTGCTTGCCCCTTCTCCCCAGCAGCAGGAGAAAAAGCATTAGTGTGACTCCTGTGTTTGTCCCTACACGCCTTCCTGCCCTCACACTGCTGGTGAAAGCTGGGTCAGGGGGTGCAAAGGCAAGGGGCAGCACCGTGGCACTGAACAGCTCCACCCAGTAATGCCCCCCAACGGGAAACTGGATATCTCATGGATCTAGCACATTTATCCCACATTTAAGAAAGAAAAAAGATATTAGGAATATTTAAACTAACTTCTCTTAGGTCTCTGTGCAGCACATCTCAGCACAAGACTTTAAATGAGCTTTGTCACAAACAGACATCCTTCTGAAAGCATCAGAGCTCAGACTTCAACTCTATTTAAATTTTCAATCCACAAATATTAAAACTTGTTTTTAACTTCAACATGAACTTTCAGGGCAGTGCTCTTACAAGAAAGAAGAAATCCGACTGAAAAACAATTAACACTTAAAGACATGAAAAGCGAGTAACAGAGTGGAAGAAATTTCTCTTGCTCAGCCTTGAATCCTTATTTCAAGAAAGCTGCAGAGTTCAGAGAAAAGACACACACACAGAAAGCGTCAAGCACAGATAAACAAGGTCTCACAAAAAGTGCTTCAGCAGTTATCAAAAGAGAAAATGCTGAAAATAGTGCTTCATCCAAGTTATGCTTAAAGGTTTTTGCTGTACTAGGTGATAAAAAGGTTTTCCTTCCTAGAACCAGCCTGTGAAACCCTCAAGCACTGCTGCACCTCCCGTTCATCTCCCGCACTGGTGACTTCAGACACGCTTGCCCTAGAAGTTACTCCACACCTGAGCTTGGGCAGAGAACCGACGGCAGCACCCGCCACGCTGCGGGAGCCGCCGGGGACAGGGCAGCGCCGGGCCCGCTCGGGACCCGACCCGGCCGGGGCACGCGGGACACGCGTGCGGGAGCGCCGAGCCCCGGCCGCGGCTCACTCACGGTCTCTGCAGCGGCTCCTCGGGGAGGGCAGCGGGGCCCTGCTGCTGCTGGAAGGAGCGCAGCGACTCGAAGGCCTTCGTCAGCTTCTCCATGGTGGCCATGTCCGCTGCGCCGGCGGCACCGGCCCGCGCTCCGACCCGCCCTGTCACGGGCGCCTGGCGGGTGCGAGTGCCGTCCCGCTCCGCTGGCGCTGCCCCCGGGCTCGCTCCCGGCGCTGTGCGGGCGCTCCGGCGGGCCCGGCCCGTCACAGCCGCGATGAATGGGGCGGGTCCCCGGGCCTGGCGTCACGCGCGCCCTTACGTAGGAACACACAAGGGAACGCGGGGCGCGAAAGGGGCGGGGCAGCGGCGAGAGGGACAGCTGCTCTGACCAATCAGAAGGAGGCTCCGCCCCTCGCCGCGTGCCGGAGCGGCCGTGCGCTGCTGTGCGGCGCCCCCTGTCGGCAGCGGCGCCCGCGCTCGGC